GGCCCCATGTATATACAATGTCTCAGCAAACGGTCTGCAGCGGCTGCTGATCATGATGTTCCTTGAGGCGATGCAACCAATTTGATTTCCCGATCTGAGGTTGTGCTCTGGCACGGCTTTTCTTTGTCCCGGCAGGTTCCGATTTGTTCAGCATTTCCGTGATGTGAACTCTGACTCACTGCACACTGGCATGCTGGCCTGCGATCGAGCGGGCTCTGGAGGCAAAGGTTGCACCTGGAACCTCCAGGAAGCTTCAGGAAGCTACTCCGCTACTCTGGAGGGTGCAAGATGTCGGGAGATGTTCTGTGGCATGGATGCACCTCATTCTGTGCCGAAGCCTCCGCTTCGTAGTGCGGAAAGCCCGGAAAGCCGGGCCTCACCTTCGAGGCCTCGGCAGCCTCGGTGACGGCCGAGGTGTTAAGTAGTGTGCCTGTGAAATCTACATAGCTTCAAGACTCTCATCTCGTGTTGGAGAAGGTTCCAACATGTTCCAGATTGTGGCGGTTTCGTGGTTCCGGTTCCAGCAGCAAGTTCTGGCCAGCAACGCAAGCAAACGACACAAGAAACTGTCAGGCGAGGGTTGGGGCTTCATTCAGGGACGAGCAGCCTATCCTTGCTTTGTCTTTCTTGCCAGCATCGTACCACACGCGCACACACACACACACACACACACTTCTACTTGCTGCAATGGCTTGCAGGCGAACAGCCCGCGGAATGGTAAAGACCGTCTCCGGCCAAAGAAGAGCCAACACCGGCCATACCTGAGTTTGCAGTACGCGTGACAAGGCTCTGCCAGCCACTGTCTTCTTAAGGCATTAAGGACGAAAAAACGAGCTGCTCACCTCCCTGCAGGGGGTTGGGTTTTAAGGGGTTCGGGACAGCCGCAGAACGTTCGGTTCCGACATCGTTCGAGACAAACTTGTCCGAAGCAAAGCCACGGCCAAGGCTACAAGCCGTCGGCGCTTCATCGCCTCAGACAAAGTCCAGCAACCGCTGACGACGGCCCGCACGGTAGCTTATGGATGTGCCATGCTGCTCCCTTCTTGCAGGCACAAGGCACACAAAGCTGTGCTCGAACAGCACAAGGCGCAAAACTTTGGTCCAAAGTGGCAACACGGAAGACTTGACAAACGATGCAAAGAGGTTGACATGCACCGGCTAGTGGCTAGTGCCACAGTCAAGCACTAGAAGCCGCCAAAAGATGCTAGAAACACGTGCGGCGCTTGGCACGGCACCAGTGCAGCCTTAACAGGCCGGGCATGCCCACGGCAGGCGCATGGGTGGATGAGCGGCTCGGTGCCAGAGTCTCGGCAGATCCAACACTCACGGGCCTCTCGCAGGGAAAGAGATTGAATGCAGAAAGAGCACGGCTATGCACGGCTGAGTCCAAGCCATGTCAAGCCTGCCAAGAGAGCCATTTAAACAGCCTGGACAGAGGCCTCAGCCGCCTAGCGATCTGGGAACCTCGAACCCCGTTTGCTTTTGAGCTAAACTAAAGACTGGCATCGCATGGCATCGCCTGCGTCTCTGCCTGGCCTCAGCAAGATACCCAGACTACATGATCAAGCTCCGACATCTCTCGCATCCAGATCGTCTCAAAGCTGGAAGCGCGCAAACGCGAATCGAGCTCGGATCACAACACGGTTCATCTCCATACGAGGCAGCACGAGGCCGTGACATCCACCCAAACTGAGCTTTCGGCCCGGAGTCTGCGCGGAGCTCGAGCTGCAGAAGCGATTGCCGAGGTTGGATCACCGGCTTAGGTCTATATATATATATATATCTCTCTCTCTCTCTAGAAAACTCAATGAAATAGAGTCAAATAGCGATCTCTCACCACGGCCTCTAGTTTTCGCAGACAGAACTTTACACCCATCAATCAGTAAAGCAGTCAAGCATATGCGTGCAACTTCTACACCCTGAACGGTGCACCTTTGCTGAGGGCCGCGAAGCTCCGGAAAAAGCTGCGTGAACTCGGGATCTGATCGGTTGCGAGCCTGGACGCCAACTGTGTATTTGCTCCTTTACTTCATATTCTGTTACGCCATACTGCATTATACTAAAGGTATCTATACATATATATATATATATATATATATATATATATACATTTTTTTAATTTATTTATTTTTGTTTGTTGCTTTCGGGTTTTTCGGGAGCGACATGAGTCACCTGGACCTTAGCTTTCCCCGCTTCCTAAACCCTCGCCAACTGGAACGCTACCTTCCTCCAAGAAAAAACCGCGGAAGACCTAAAACCCAAAATGGAGTAGCTCAGCGTCACAATTCGTTCCCCTATAAAGCTGGTGCAAATGACTTGGCAGGATTTCTCATCGTCTTGGTGTTCGAGTAGCTGTCCTGCTTTATTTGCATACGCTCCAGCACATGTAACGATGAACGGAAGTGTCCCAGAAGCTCTCTTCATGGTTTGCAAAGGCCGATACACTCATCAGTAGTTATGTTTCTAAAAGGAATAGAGACTTCATCAAACTCTTAGGGGCACGACTCCTCCATATGAGGCTGAATCCTCTATGAGCCTGGTATCTGTCTTCGTTGTTTGCATATACCCATCAGCCAACATGTCTTCTAGGAAAAACAGCTTCTCAAACTCTCAGGGGGGCTGCTTTGTTGTGAAAGAACCTTTCTGCAGCTGAATGCTATACAAGCCTGGAGTCTGTCAAACTTGAACAAAATAGACATGGAATAGGAGACAGAATAGACACCAAGACAGGACTACGTTTCAATTGCATGTCTGTTTGAATTCTATTTCAGTTTGCCGCTTTTTCCTATTTTATTGCTATGTTCGATTCCCCCATTTTCTGCCGAGCCAGAGATCCCTTGTATAGGAAAATTTGAACCAGGGCTTGTGTTATGGTTTTGGTGAGTGTGTATAGGGTTCCTTGTAAATATTGGTGTTGTGTGTGCGTGTGTGTGCGTGTGTCTGTATGTGTGGGTGCTAGCAATAAAAGGGCCGGTAGTAGACATCTGAGCCTTTGATGGGAAGAGAAGACCTGTCAACCTAAGCAATGTTCGGCGGATGGTCCTTTCCGCTATGTCATTTGGCAGATAACGGGATCGATCAGGTGCACAGGGAACAAAGTTCAGCATTGGGATGTTGAACTTCAACATTGGACCCAAGAATCAAGATTCAACTTTCTCTGGAATCTTGAATCTTGAACCTTTGATTTGGATCCGGCCCCAATGTTGAACTTCAACACCCTAAACATTTTAGTGTCCCTTTCTCATTTTTGATGCGCCCCAGACTCAAGATTCAGGTTCGAGGGTGACCTGAAAAGCTGGAGACCCAAGCATCAAGTCTTGATTTTTGCCTGAAGCCAGCCGCCGAACCTAGTTATTCGCTCGAAACTGTGGTTAAGTGGGGGGATACCATGTATAGATATAGGTGCATTAACTAGAAGGTCAAAAATCGTGTTAAGGACTGCATGGAACAACCAAGAACCTCAGCTCTTCTGTTGAACACCGAGGTACCCAAGACTCTTCTGCAAGCGCTCGCCGCGTCTCCCAGGAAGCTCTGATAGATCCATAGCCTTGAGGCGGCTGCACATTGCACTTTACAACAATGGCACTCCGATCCCCGAACTGACCCCGATGCGTTGGCGAAACTCTTTCAGTGCTCCAGCGGCAGTTCTGAATTCCAATGTGACAAAGGAGGCTGTCCAAGCTTTGGGTTCAAAGCAGCATGCACGCCACATTCGCAGACTCGCAGTAACGGAACTGTTTGCAGCACGTGCTACGTGCTGAGACATGAGTTTTTTCTGGCGCCTGATTCTGCATCGGACAGGAAGTAGGACAGCAAGCCCGTGAGGATGGTGTCAACGGACCAGGCCGGATTCCAGCTCTGGCGCATACAACTCGAGGCTTACTACTTGCCAGACAAGTTCATCTACTGCACGTAGTACTTGATCGGCATTAGTCGGACTCTATGCTCTGTGGGTGCAAGAGGCATCTCTGGCCGGACTTGAAGCCTAAGCTAGCAGACGCAGTTCCTAGCTTTCAAGGCGGCTGGTTCAGAAATGTTGCGAATTGGGGGGTTGCTACTTTGACTGACGTTGTCCTGTTGTCCAAGGATGGGGCTCCACTATCCACTGCTCACTCACCTTGTTGTAAGAACAGGCCGGCCAAGCCTCCGGATGAAAATCGGTCATGCTGAGGCCTCTCAAAAGCATGTGCAGGCTGTGCCCGCCCCTAGATGACACCGACTGGACTACTTCTGGCGAGAACAATGAACTTCTTGCACTGCTTGCATATGAAACTCACACCACTGGGTTTGGCCACCTGTGCAAAACATCATCTGAGCTTGAAGCACAGGCGGCAACCCGTCTCCAGTCTCCCGCTCGGGGTCACCATGACCTCAACGCTCACCATACTGATCATACTGCAACGGTGTTCAGCAGTAGGGATTCGAAGATGCAGATAGAAGCATGACGGGATGCTGAAGCATCTCCGCGACAGGCAAACAAGTAAAAACAAGAAACTACAGCAAGTAGGCATCTGTTGTCTCCAAGCTGCCACCGTTGGTGGGGCATGCGGGTAGTCGTTGGGAAAAACAAGCCTTCAAAGCAAGGAAGCATAAGAAATGCATACAAGTTACTTGCTCACAGCATTGCTTTGTCGATCGACTGAGAATTCGGGATACTCATCGCACGCGTGTCTGTATATGTCTATACTCATACTCGCTTGTCCTGGCTTGCAACCGTGGAAGCTACATCTCACCCTGCAAGTTCAAGCAATGCTTCACATCAGGACAAATGGCACGTAAGAACTTGTGCAAAATTTGCTTCGGCTGCCTCCCGTGATAGCATCCGCCGCTGTAAGGACTCGGAAGCAGGAGTGTCTGTGTGTGCGCATATGTGTGTGTGCGTGCGTGCGTGCGTGCGTGCGTGCGTGCGTGCGTGCGTGCGTGCGTGCGTGCGTGCGTGTGTGTGTGTGTGTGTGTGTGTGTGTGTGGGTGTGGGTGTGTGTGTGTGTGTGTGTTTGTTTTTGTTTTTGTTTTTGTTTTTGTTTGTGTTTGTGTTTGTGTTTGTGTTTGTGTTTGTGTTTGTGTTTGTGTTGTGTGTGTGCGTGAGTGTGTCCCAGCCAATTCCATGAATTAAAGTCTGGCAATTGTTCTCGATGCAAAAACATGCCAGACGAGTCTTCCAGGTCTGTGCCTAGTCTGCCGCCCAGTATTCCAAAATGCTTCGGCTTGCATAGCCTGCAACATTCCTGGCCCCGAACCTGTCCGCTGGCAGTGAATGGAGAACAAAATGCCACCTGCAGCCAGACCCCTAGGCTGAATGTGCAAATTTGGCAAAGGCTTACTCATCTTACAACTTCTTTTTGATTCTGTGATACTAGCAGATGTAGGTAGCTGCGCTTACCGACAATATTCTGCATGCCACTGTCGGCTGAGACAGCTTGGTAGTCATCGCTTGTGAAACTGCTAGGCACCGGAATAAGAGCGCTTAAAGCGCAGACACTCAGGACTTGAGGTGGCAGTCCCTGTACACATATCACGTAATTAATGGAGCTTCCTCAGGCCACCGCTCGAGCAAAGATGCGCTGGACGGCTTCACGGCTACCTACGAGGCATCTGCGGTCTTAACGGTGAAGCGGCCTTTTCCCCATAAGAGACCTCCAAAAGCACTTTACCAGGGCATGTGGGGATGTAGTGTCTTGTGCCAGTCACTTGAGTTTTTGGACCTGCCTCCAGATCAGTACACACCTAAGCCCACAGTCCTTGGTGGAGGTGAGGGGCGAGTATGAACAAAACCCAGCATTGCGCCTGCGCGTTCGGTGACTGCTGAATCAGCTGCAGCTCCCGCCGCAAACGCCTGCCAACACCAGATGCATGGCACCACAAGGACTTCAGACGTAAAAGCTCTCTTCGCTCTAAAAAATCCGTTCCAGAAGCGAAAACTCATCCTGCTCTTCAGTCTTCCTGCCTTACGGAAGTTGCGCTGGCTGATGCGCCCTGACAGCAACATCCAGCCGCGACTACACGTGACTGGTTGTCCGAAGGTGTTCGAAAAATGTCCGTGCCTGCATCCTGCTTCCAAGTGCACTTCCAGGAGCCCCAATCTCTGTGCAGCTCCCGTGCCGAAGCGCCAGGCACTGAATTCGCTATAATTTGCTTGGTCTTGCCAATAGGGATCCCTTCCAGTGCTTTGACTGTGCTACGCGGCCCGTGCCATGCAGCGACTTCTCAGCGCATCTTTGAAAGCCTTACCGGCCTTACATGTCAATACCTGGTCTCTGTTCGCATTTCGGATCTATAAGGACCGTGACCATGTACTTCAAACTGAAGCCAAAGCGGCCAAATTCATGCCTCATGCAAAAGCCAGGATGGAATCCTGCCTGGAACACGTCGGAAACGAAGCGGATCTACGTATGTTGGCAAAGGGTGGCGTGAGACTCTTTCAACTTACACATTGTATGGCGACTGTACCTCAGGTTCGTTTTTCGTTTTAAGCCCTCACGCGCAGTCACGAGAAGTGTTTGCCAAGTGCTCAGAACACAGCAAAATGTGGCTGGGCATGCAAAATTCCAGGACCAATCATGATCCTGAACGCTTGTACACTGTACACCCTGACCCTAAATCCGCATGGGCCATGATGGCTATGCAATTGCTCCTGCCGCACCGACTGCTCCAAACGCCGCTAGGATCCAAGGCGTGCCAAACGCCTCCTTGAGCAACTGTGAGCCATTGATAGCCGATCGTTACGGAATCTGATCCCCGATGGATTGTCGGGGAGCTGTGCGACTTGCCGGATTGCCGGCTTGCTGTATGAACTCCTCTGCGACGCGAGCCCACGAATGTTCAAGAGCTTCGAGTGCATCATGTCCAACAGTTGGCAGCATTGTCGCACCTGGCAACTGCAGTGGCATCCTGGTTCCAGATCATCTCTTACCAGCAGGGCTCACGCCCAGGATGTCGGGAAAGCCCCAGGTTGGATGCGATCGTGGCCACGAGGATCCCGACAGGCAAAAGCTGTTCACCTCCGTTGGTTGTATGACCTTGGAGGTCAAGGAGAGTTGCACAACGCTGCACAGTCCAACTCCCGCACTATGCCTTACATACCCTTCCATGTGCCCTTTCCACATGATCGCCAGCCCAGACACGGTGCCGACGGAATCCCTTGGCCCATATCAGCCAGGAGTGGATGGATTCAACGGCGGCGCACTTTGGGAGGATGTGGGTCCTTCGGCGAGTGAACTACGCGCACATCTGGAGACTTAATAGCATTGTCATATGTCTCTCTGGTGGTAGCACGGTACAAGCAGGCTGGTCATGTCTGCGCTCCGTTGCTGTTACAAGACTGCCACGGTCCATTATCGAAGTCGGACGAGTCATTATAAGCAGAACTCGTGGATTCAGCTTGCGAACGTTTCTGGCCAAGGAATCCATCAATTGATTTAGCCTGATTCTGCACATGCCCATCACACCATGCCAGCACTGAAATTTCATCCAGTATCATCCAGCACTTGTGTATACTGTATGCACCCATCCGAACTGCACATCTCCACCAGGTACAGTATTCTGCCCTTGCTACTCCTTCAGGAGCTTCGGCATGGAAACTTGTGACGAAGCCATCACTCCGCACGAAGAGCACCTCTTCCTTCGAAGTACAAGAGCGGGAGTGCAGCTCACATGCTTCGGCACACACGAAAATGCAGTGCACAATGGTCTACATCTATCACATCGTCGCTCGGCATGCTGACTGACTCAGCACATCTGCATGGCAAAATGCCTGCATGCCGGCAGGCATGTCCGCAGAGGCTGCTGCAAACAGCCTTCCTGAAGGAAGAACTGGAAGCTGCAAAGTGCTGACGTGCTCGATCACAGCAAGATTACCTGCCCCTCCGGCGATCACTGTGTATGAAGGTACCAACATAACATGTGCCAGTTCGGATGCCCACCTGAACGTTGAACACGCTCCTCCGGCAACAACTACGGACGCTACCAAAAGCTTAGCTCTCTTGCAGTATTGCTCAGAAGAGACCGGGATGAGCAAGCAAGGGAGCAAGAGAGTGAGGCAGACAACGAGACAGAGAGGGAGGGGAGAGGGAGAGGGAAGGAGAGAGAGAGAGAGAGGGCTGCACAATCAATTGCAAGCACCAAACCTGCAAGTTGATAGCACGATGTGCCCTGGCCTATAGGTCCAGCAAAGCCCAGCACAAGTCTAAACAGAGCACATCCTGCCATCCGGCATCACCGGGGAGGACTGGTCGTGGAGGAAGAAGCGGCGGACTCAGGTAGTGTGTAGCGAACTCGGAACAGCTAGTACAGCCATAGTACGAAGCATGGTAAGCAGTAAGCAGCTGAAAGTCGACCCCACCAGAAAGGGCTGCTGCAGGCATCGCAAAACCCCTGAAAACTGCTGGTTTCTTACGGGCTTATCCTCATAGTTTCACACCATCTTAGGTGGTGGTTGGATCTCGGTCCCGGGCGGCCAAGCCGTCCCACCTCGAAGCTCTTCTAGAAGGAGGTCCTCCAAAGTAATGGCAACACAAATCGAAGACGGCCGAGCTACGAAGAGGCCGTGCATCCTCGGTTTCCACATGTTGCCACGGGGCCCTTAGGAGCACACGAAGATGCATCCGAGTACAGAGACGTCCTGCTGGACTGCCTCTTCAATGGTTTGGCTCGCGCGCTGAACGGCTCGCTCTGCAGCCTGGTGTGAACAAAGATGGACTGCTTGCGGCACTTGCACGACTCGACCGTGCTACAGGTAGCGATGTCCTCAACGAAGGGTCGTTTACCATGAAACGCATGTGATGTTATGCAGCCGCCCGTCCTGGTCTTCGGCACTTAAAGGATCTGCTTGCCTCTGCCTCCATCACCGCCACTTGCGCATGCTTTGCTTGTCAAACAGCCTGTCGAACTCTCAGGGTCTGAGGACATAACTCGAAGGCTTGCGCCCTGTGCCGTTGGCTAGCACCTTAGCCGGTGGGCGCTTCCGCGTTTAGATGCTTCCGCGGACTTCCTTCGATGGAAGCACCACAAAAGTCCATCGACAGCTGTCAACTGTGCTCAACTGTTCAATGTTGTGCATCACACCGCTCAGGGGCCCCAGCTTACTGCCCATCTGGCAAACGTAGCATGTGCCCGCGCATTGGCTTCGTAGAGGTCCCTGCTCAGAGGACTGGCGGGCAGCTGGTGGGACAGTGGGGATGCAAAAAAGCATCACGTTTCCTGACGAGTGACGAGACTCTGCTAAAGTCTTTGAGAACCCTGTCCAAGGCGCAAGCGCAGTGCTCAACGGTCCTTCCGGATCTGCCTCCGACCTCAGCAAGTCCCGCCAAGCCCCAAAGAAGTTTTCTTGCTTCTCAGGCAGCAATACTCTGACCGAACGTTCGTTCGGCTGGTGACAGAAACCGAAGACTGTGACCAAGAGTTGTTGCGCCGATAACCGCACTGGCCATGCTCAGCAGCCGAGCTCGGTGCCACTTAGACAAGCCCTTGGCCGCCAGCTCAGCATGCATGACGAAGTTATGTCCCCGGGGGCGAGGTACCAATGGCTCCTTGCATAACAAGTCAGAAAAGTAAGACAGTGCAAATTTGCAATGACTGCGCTGGCCATGCTGCATTGCAAGCACCATCAATGTCGCGAGCCACGCCCCCCGGGAGGAGCCGTGCTCCTCGGGAGGAGTCTGCCAGGGCACGTCTCGTACACGGAACTCCGGGGGGAGCCTGGCGAGCAGCGTGCGTATCGGTCCGTTTCGACGGTCCGAGCAGCAGTGAGTGTTTGCGATGTTGCGTGGGCATCGTTAGAGCGTCTACTTCGTCTTGGCCTCCAACTCTCGAAGATGGCTGCCTGCCATCCTTGGACCACGACCTGCAAGGGTGATCAGCTGTGCGAAGTGCACGGCTTACGGGTTTACAGAGCGCTTTTGCAGAGCCACTGTACCTGGAAGCAAGTCATCGGCTGAAAGCGCAGGAAGTGGCATGTGAGGTCAACGAGTCGTCCCGAAATCTTCCTATTTTTTTGATACGCAGACAATTTACTCAATTCAAACCTCTCAGATGCTGTGCTGCTATGCTAGAAGCCCTGACCATTGAATACTCCACCTTCAGCAGCATTCGCTCCAGCATTTGGCCCTGGTGCATGCAAACGAAGAGGTGATGTTTGGGTGCACTGCTCTGGCACACACACACACACACCGTGAAGACTTGAAGAGAAACAAAGCTGCTTGCACTTGCAGACTCGGAGGCCTGCCTGCTGCAGTCCTAGCTCCAGAGCATGCGGATCAGGTCGCTGTGGCCGGCGCATTCTTGGGATCTCTGGGACCGCCTGGCAGCCAGCGCGTGACCCAATGCTGTCTGCTCCAACGATCTCATTGACAAAAGCTTGCGTGATCTTGTGTGCGTGTGTGTGTGTGATTCTGTGTCGCGTCAGCCGCCAAGTGCGCCTCCACTGATATACTGCGCGTGGAAACCTCTGCTGTCTGGGTCTCGGCGACCTTTTTCGGAAGGATGCGAATGCAACCACAGCGCAGGTTGCAGCGGAAAGCAGTGTTGTGCACGCTCAATCTCCGCTTGCCTCTACAGCAGGGACGGCTGTCATCGCATGCTGCGGCAATGTTTCCTGCCAACTGCACTGTGCTGCGCTCCTGCCCTGGCATGGTTCCATGCCAACCAATCACACGGTCATCAAGGCTTCACTCATAAACAACTTCGAACGTATATCGGATCATGTGGTCCATATGATGGGGCTCACAAAGACTCATGTGGAAAGACTCACTGAAATTTCCCTTCCCCCCGATGTAGGTGCCGTACCTGCACTGCAACTGCAGGGGTCAGCTTGAAGTGTTGCAAGATCTCCTTGCCAAAGAAACATATGTAGAATGTTCTAAACTCGATGCCTCTGATGCGGGCCAACGTTGCCTAGCTTCCGCGCGTGGGGGTTTTGCTCTGCGTAACCATGACGCAGCTTCTGTGCGTGGGGCTTTACACTCATGAGGCCTCACGGTGTCACACACAGGCTTCCTCTCGGACTTCCGCGGCTCTCTCTCCCTCTCTCTCTCCCTGAAAGCTTGGCGTCCTGGTACACCGAGCCCTTCGTGACCTCCAGATCTGTGTTTACATCTGCGTGTTTTTGACACACTGCGTTTGCTTCGCAAGCCCTCTCAGCATTGGCAGTTGAAGGGAATCCGCATCAGATTCGATTCAACACACAGTATCACGCCTGCTTTGCAACTGAGTGCCAATATGTATTGATGTTGATATGTAGAAATAAGATGAAATAAGAGTGTGTATATATATATGTACCTATACTCGACCCGGTCTTTGGGATCTAAGGTTCTAGGTCCTTGCCAGGAGCCTTGGGACCCCCTGACCAACCTCCGAAGAATCGTCTTGCCGCAGCAATCTACTGCAGAGAGACACAGGCCACGCTATGGGCCGCGCTTTCTGCGCTTCATCGAAAACCGCCGCTCTTATTGACTTCCTCCAACTTCCATGCGTTCCTATGCGATCCAGTCGCGCATCTCCGATCAATCGAAAGATTTCAGACCTCAAGACTCAATCACAGTCGCTCCGTATGGCAATGTTTCATGAGAGCGAGGCGAGCCGACACAGTAAGTGCGAAGGCACACACACACATGTCTAGTAGATACATTGCATATATGTATATTACACCTCATGGGATATCTGCCGTTGTTGCGCCTCTCGGTGACACATCAGATGTTATAAGTCCCTTCCAGTACTTCTTAGGTTGTTGAATATGTTCCTAGTTGTTCAGCATTCTCGGTTGGATCCAAAATTTCAGCAATCTGCGCGAGCGCCACGAGGACACTGCTAGTAGCATGTGCAAAGGGACCTCGACTGTGTTGTGATTTCTGCCTGTTGATTAGCTAAGCATGTGTGAAAGAAGATGTACAACAGACATGTATTGCGGTCGTGTTTGTGTTTGCATGTGTTGTTGTTCGTGGTGTTGTGGATGTTCTTCTTGTCGCTCTTGTTCTTGTCGCTCTTGTTCTTGTCGCTATTGTTGTTCTTGTTCTTGTTGTTCTTGTGCTTTTGAGCTTCTTGTTGCCGTTGCCGTTGTTGTCACTGTCTGTTGTTCTTCCTGTTGCTGTTCCTCTTCATTTGGTTCTTCCCTCCACCCTGCACCGCATGCCTACGTCCTTGTCTGCTTTGGGCTAACACGTGCCAGGCCTCCTCCTTGAGACGCTCCAACTCGGCCTCCAACGGCTCAGAGGGGTTAAAAGCTTAGGGTTCGCGTGTTCCCCCTTACACTGACAGCCCTGAACGGGGATTAGAAGGAGGAGGGGGGAACTACAATCCCTGCTAAGGACTGTTAGTACAGGGGGGAACATCCCAAGCTCAGGGTTTTGTTGAAAGACTGCTTAAGGTGGAACAGCCCACAGCCGGAGGGCCTGCTGAGTTCGTCGCGCATCCTCGGCCTGGGAGACCTGCCAAGAGGAGCCCCAAAGAATGACAAATTTCGGGCTTTTGTTGCTGCTCATGCTCTTCATTTCTGGAAATAGCTCGCTCTGCTTAGTACCAGCCTTTTCCCTCAACATCTCCATCTCCAGCGTCTGCTGCTGCCTGGCTGCCTTGATCTGTTCGACAAGGGCCTCTCCAAGTGTGTCAGATCAAACCAGGGTTTTTGCACTGCCCGGGCGGTTGGCCTCCCGCTCGGCAGCAGCGATCTGCTGTTGGCGCTGGAAAACCTTCCACTGAGGCTTTGTGTTCTATGCATTTTTTCCAGCGTGGAGCCTGCAACAACCCCACTTGTAGAATCAAACGAGCAAAACATGCGGGGAGGCCTCTCGTTCAACCGCCTCTCGCTGGGAATCGATGAGCTGGTTTGGTGGCACCTTGCCATGAGCAAATGGGGACAGGTATGTTGAAACTGTTGATGGCATCCTCTTCATCACACCCCCGCGCAAGAGAACCGGATGAAGAGGGGTATGCGAACACGCAGTAGTCTCTCAACGGGTCTGCGATTTTGACCGGTCGTTGGCCTGCTCTTCAGTGCGTTGTGGAGAGACATCTTGGGGCGCCTGCATAATCAAAGCGTGCTGCATGCCTTTTGCTCTTACACTCGCGATTCATGGAGCATGCCAGGCAAGTCTGCTCACATGTGCTCACATGTGTTCACCCTCCTGCACCAAAGCTCTGCGTTGGCGCTGAAGCTCTGCTTGCTCTCGCTCCAGGGCCTGCAACGCAATTTCCCTCAAAGTGGATTCCGAGCATCAGATGCTGCAGCGACAGGCGTTCACGATCATTCAAATTTCGTCTTAAGTCTACTTTGCTGGCCACACTTGAAAGCAGTGTACGAGTTCCCGGATCTAGCTTCAGAAACGACCCCCGAAACAGACCACGTCGATGTGTTGTTGTGAGTCTTTTTGAAAGCCTGGGTATGTTAGTTTGCTTTATCTCCAGACACGATTCCAACTTACCGAGTCGCGGGCTCCGACTTCTTCTCAAATTGCTTTAAATGTTCAGGCGGAAGTGGTACTCCGAAGAGTTTGACAGGCAATGTTTTGCAAGTTGTTGCCTGGCCACCCTGCTAAGCTGCTAAGCCCTTCACTGTAGACAGTTGGATTTTGAAGGCGGAAGTAACCGAAAATCGCTTCTCGAAATTTCGTTTCTTTTCTGGGCGGCGAGTTCAGTTAAGTTAACTTGGTTCCAGTGTTTCCGATAATGCCATTAGCAATGTTTTGTGGTCAGAAGTGGGTTGACTATAAAAAAAAAAACAACTCCTCCAACATGTCGCAGATCATGTCTTGAAGGTGTCTTCTGAAAGCCTGCTCAGATAACCATTCCAGCTGCCCTTGTTAATGCACAAGAAATAAAAGTAATGGTACATAGGTAGTATAATATAGTACATGCAATATAGTATACATATACATATTTATACACAAGCAAGGGCTTCGCTTCAAATGAAATAAATACTAGCTCAAGATGTCAACCGAAATCCGGTCAGCTCCACTACACCAAAACGTGGTTGGAAGCACGCAGTAGATGACGCCTTTGGACACACAAAGTGCGGGCACGTAAGCAACTGCCATCCACTGCCTCCCGCTCCATGGCATCGCGCTGTAGCTGCAGCTCGCGGCGCTGCTGCTCGAAATCCTGGAACTGTGAGGAGAGTTGGGGGGCAGACCTGAAATGCCTTGAAGACCCCAATCATCCCACAACTCCAAGTTGAAAATGTGTTGAACCCCATTGATTCCCTGGAGCTCGGTAGACTTGAGGTCCAAGGCCTTGCGATCTGGGACCGGCGTCCGTTCGGCTTGGTGGTCCGGGTCACGAGCAGCCATCTTCGCCTGCTCTGCGAGCATGAGTGCACAGAAGTGCTGTTCGCATCAGGCCTTCAGGATCCAGAGTCTATCAACTCATCCAAGATAAGGGCACTTTGACACAGCGCTGCATAATGTGGCTTGGCCTTTTCTGCTGGGACATCTGGTCGTGCGTCTGCCTTGACGGTTTTACGGCATGCTCTGGGAGGGTTCGGACGCATGCATTGACTGACATTTTGTCGGTGGCAATCCACCACCAAGCATGGCTATTCCCTTCAGTCCTAACAATCGTCAGCATCTTGAACATGCTGAAGAGTAGGATGATAAGCCCCCCATGACCCACCTCCGCTGCCCGGCGAGGCAGCTTCTCAGGCTCCGCCTCGCTATGTCAAGCAGTGGAGCAGCGAGTGTGTTGCAGAGTACGTCAGTAGCAATCCAAACGTGTCAGCCTGCGTGAGCTGCTCCTGCTTCTGCTTCTCCATGATCTCGCAACATTCAAGCATGTGAACGGGGGGAAGGAGGGTGCATGGCACTGCCAAAATACTGCGGAAGAATGTCCGGCATCCCAGCTGCTTTGATGCACCGCTCTCATGATGCTAGTCCGCGCACGTCGGTGTGTTTCAATCCCATCAGCCGCCTCCGCCTCCCTTGCCGCAAGCCGCTCGGCCGTCCGCTGCTCCATGGCCTTTTATGACAAACAGAAAAAAGGAAATCCATGTATGTATATGGTACATAATGAATGAACTATGCACATGTAGATTGTGTGTGGCTGCGTGCGTATATATGTATATATATATGTGTGTATATATGTGTAGAATTCCCCAGGCTGTGTGCCAATGGTGCCAACACTGCAGGGTTTCGACGCGCCGGCACCCGTGCATGCAACGTTGGCTCTCGCTCGAGGCATGCTCTCGCTTCGGACGCAAAAGACGAAAATCATGGTGGGCGCGGGCCGGGCTCCTGAAACGTCAGGCTCTCGCCTAGGTCACACGCATGTCGTGCTCGGAATCGTGCTCCCGCGTAGGTCCCATGTATTTTTGCGCTTAAGGCGCTCCGTGTCGGAAAATGTAGCAGGCACATACTTTCCTGTGGCTTCGTGCATCCAATCTAAGGGGATTTGCATTTCGCGGTGTTGCAGATGGCGCTCTCGCTTGGGCCCTGTGCAAAGAAATTCTTCTCATCAAGCGCAGAACTGTCCACGCCTTTTGGGCCTTGGAATGCTCCTCAAATGGTCTTCGAATGTACAAAATGATGTTAGCGTGTTTGTTTTGAGGGCGCTCATGAAGCGATCTTGGAGTGGTCTTGGCACGCGCTTGGAGCGCTGTCGGGGTGCTCCCGGGAAAAGTGATCTTTACATTGTTTGGGCTCGCACAATATTGACATAATCCTGGTATAAGAATGACAACAGTCCAATGATCAAGGCAGCAGTAGTAGCAGTAGCAGTAACGGTATGTCATTTGTTCTGTCTTGGCGGCTCAAGGCCTGGATTTCGGTTTCCTGGCGCCGCCGTGCTTCCTCCGCGGCCTGAGGCTGCGCTTAGGGTTCGGGGTACGTGGGTCTTAGGGCTCAGGATGTAGGATGCATTGCAATAAATGGACGTATATACAAATTAAAAAAAAAAACATATACATATATATATATGTAGAGAATAAATATCCAAGGCCCTTTTCAAGTCCAGGGTCTGAGGATTGAGGATTGAACACTTTCATAGCCGGGTGTCTCAAATACATGGCTTTAGGCCATGAAACATGCAATCTGCTCTTCAACATTAAAGTCAACATGATTTTTCATCAAGCAGCTAGTTGGAGCAACAAATGGCTTTTACATTACAGCAAGTTCTCCTTTATTACAAGAACAGAACTCATCGAAGCACGCTCAGAATAGATATATCAGTTCCCCAAGCGAGAAGTGTGGAAAGTCGAACCGTGTGACCAAAACATTGTTGGTCATCAGACTATTTTCAAAGCAGCCGGGTGAACGTTGAAAGAGAATGACGGACAATGTTGGGACAACCGATGGGCCCAATGATCTTCAGTGCTCGAGCTGAAGCCCCTCAAAACGCAGCGGCTGAGTCCCCGCGTTCAACCATTATGCGTTTACAACGAGAGTGTGTTATGTTGTGTCTTTAATTCGCATTCTGATTTGTTTTGGTTTTATTACACGGTTCTTGCCATTAAGGCAACAATTTCAAGAAAAGGAAAAGGTGCTCAGGGTAAATCTCTCGCCGGCGCGCTTCCTCGAGCTGCTTCAGCTTTCTGTGTTCTTCCAATGCCTGCATGCAGCAGTAAGCACTGCTGAAGCTTGCGCCGGAAAGCAGCTAAGATCACGGATGCATGCGTGGGTTCTGGCATCTGCCTTCCTCTCTGCCTCCGCACGCAGGCTCTGTGATTCTGCTGCCTGCGAGGGCGACGTGGGGAGACGAGTTCCGAAAACAAACTCACGAGACTCGAAACTTCTTCGGCCCAGACACAAATGAAAACATGATGAAATAGAAGCATCATGTTGGTTGCATCGACCTGGGCATCCCTTTCTTGCTGCAAGCGCTTCTTCTCCTCATGGGTCAGGGGGCATAGCAAGCATCAATCAGTAGAGCTCGCAAGTTTGATTTGGAGCTGCCGCGTGTCCGCACTCCTCTACTTAGTTAGAACCATCCATCATCATTCTCAATCAACGGTTCCCAGGCCACCGCCACACAATGCTTCGATGACATGAATCGGCCTCCTGGTAGGCCTGCTTTGCTTGCTCCTCCTTCTTCCTTGCCGAAGCCTCCTTGTGGTCCTACAACACTCAGAATGAACAAATGCTGTCCACGAAGACACGAAGATGAGCACAGAAACGAGCCGTCATATATTGTTTCTTCTGGGTTCTCTTGAGATGGGGGCCATAGGCATTGAGAGCACGATCCTCGTACCAGCAACTGAATGCTTCTTGTAGAAGAAAGTCGCACTGCTGCCTGGCTCGAGAGGCGCACTCTGGGGCATGTACTTAAAGAAGCCGATGTCACTGTCGAGAATTGCATAAGTTGACTAATGTGGCAACGGACAGTACATCATCAGCGCCCAGGATATCCCCGAATCCCCAACCCCACGAAACAGCGTGAGCAGGGCCGGGCATGCACCATCTAAACCCTAAAACCCTAAACCCTACTAAGCCCTACTACTTAGGGCCCAGGGTGATCCCTCATAGAGCCACACGCGAAACGGCAGCAAGAACCGGCAAAAACAACCGTGCCCAACAGCTGCCTGTACATCTTTTCAGCAACAGAGTCCGCCACTCGCTCCGCCTTTGCCACGGCCTTCAAGACTTGCAAACACAAACGAGCAACGAGCAGTGTGCACTCTCTTCCCATTGAGACTCTACAACAGAAACCTGGAGCTTGACTTTTCAAGCTTTTTCAAGCCTCCTCTTTCATGCGTCGCACTTCTTCCTCATGCTTTCGCCGGGCCTCTATCCAATCACAAGAGGCCGCTTCGGATTTGGCATCATGATGACATGGTTGACACATCCAAGGCAAGAATGCGAACCAGGTCCTCCAAGCGACGTCGCTCACTTGCAACAGCATGTGCAGCCTTGGAGCGAGATGCGATTCAAGGGGTGTTCGAGCATGAGGACACATGCGGTGCTGGATGAACCTTACTACGTGTCAAATGACACGCGCAAGATTTCCTAGCGCCAACCCTCGCGAATGCCTCATGTCCCGTTCTAGTAAGACTACAAGATACTACAAGTAGGTGATTGACTATTGACAGCTGATAGAACGTTTTTGCCCCTGATTGCTTTCAAGGTTTGTTTCAACTGTACTGTATGCCAAGCTACTTCTTGCCAAAGCCTGGTGCACTCGCTGAGGAGCTCCTGTGCACATGGCAATAAAACCTCCGTCCTGGATCTCTGGCATGCTGCGTTCTGGGAGCAGCGAGCCTGCTGCCGCTCGGAGCTCATTCGGTCTGCAAGCTGCTCTGCCTTCTGACGATCCCTTTCCAACTCCTGATGGCCAGCAAGCTAGGGCAACAAGGAGCGCACCAGTCACGCCGGAAAGTCAAGGGTATGCCTCCTCGCGAAGGCGCCGCTGTTCTTCCTCCATGGCCTCTTGATACCTTCTCCGCTCCTCAGCTTGCCGAAGCTCCTCCGAGTCAAATGGACTTCCGAATCTTCCGAGTCTTCGTCAAGCGCAGAAGTAGCCCATGGGAGATATGTGGAGATATGTTTGCTACCAGTACGATTCTCTGGCCACAATGCTTTCATCAAGACAGGCGTGGCATCACGGCAGGATGCACAGGTGTCATTCCTCCGCCCGTCTTCGATCCATGTCTTCGAGCTGCCTTTTCCTTTCCTGGCAGCTGTCCGGGTGCTACGACAAACTTGGCAGAGTCTTTTGGATGGGCTACATCTTCAGAATCTCGTGTGGAATGCATTCTTTGGCTGAGAAGGTCAGGCAACCTTGCATGGGGGCTAGCTTGCAGACACTTATACGCATGGTCCTCCTCAAGCAGCCTCTCTTCCTCGCGTTGGGCTTCATCCTTTCCGAAAAACAGTACGTAGAGTACTGGTTCGTTTCAGACTGGCCTCAACTTCAGCTATGGCCTCGCCCCGACCCTACTCCGCTTGATGAAAGAGCCAACAGAGTTTCCTGCTTCCGTCGTTCTTCTTCCTGCTTCTGGCGTTCTTCTTCTTGTGGAGGCTTAACGGCTTCCTGTACAATTGAACAAAGGGGTGTCGGCCTGTACTGAAGCTATCGACTGACCTGCGAAGGACGGCCTCCTTTTCGTGCCTCTGCATCTCTTCCTCTAGTTGCAGGCCTTCCTTTTGCAGGTCCTCCTCCACAAATACGGATGACTGTATCAGAAAAGGAGGCATCCTGGCATCCCTCCATCTGGCCTCCACCAAGGCTCGGGTTGCTGCGGAGGGTTCTTGAAGCACGGTCTGCGGAGCCTTCAGCGTATTGCCGTGTGAGCACACTTTGAGTTTGATACATCCTGGGCTCCAAGCTGCCTGGACTGTGGAGGGCAGGACACCTGCAACAGATGTTGTCACTTTACCACTTACTGGGTAGCGAACCTTGAGACCTTGGGTGTGTGACACTTATTGCCCCTTAAACCCCAAATTTCACAAAACTCTCAAGGCCTGTGGCCGGGCGTTTTTCTGCCGTTGCCGGTGCCTGGAGAAGCTGACATGTTGACGTAGAATCACGTAGAGGGTTCTGAGACTTCTCGAAAGACAAGAGGGGCAGGTGCAAACCTGCGCGCACAGAGCGCTCAATCCTGACCGTCATACCGTCATGCAGGCAACAGTGCCCACCCGAAAACAAGTCGGCAAATTCGAAACACACCAGCATGCATACGCACGTACACACACACATTAATTTAGCAAGAAAATGCAACGAATCGGGCGGACATGTGGTGTGCATTGCCGAGACTACGAAGTGTCTCCGCCCCGTGGGCCTGCGGCCCTTAATGAAGAACCCTGATGAATCACTCCTAGAGCGGGTCACGTCGTGCAAAATGTGCATGCGAGAGAGCTCCCAAGAGGTTTGATCACAGCGCCAAAGCACCGAGGAGAGGTAGGTTGCCGTGCCCTAGGCCCTAAGCCCTTTGTTTGAGGAAGCTGTAATTATTTGTAAGTATTTTGTTGTAAGGTCGATCTTACACAGGGCCGACGAGCAAGGGCTGGCCAAGGTCTGGACAACTTCCGTGTGCAAGTAGCTTCGGAAAGTTGAGAAAGACAGTACTGCAGCAATAAAATTCTCCAGGCCCCAACATCCAAAACTCCGCTAAGCCGGCACGCGAATAGGCGAAAGGTAACTGACCAAGCCTGCAGCGCGGCACTCGCTTCACGCTGCGAAGCAGCCTGCAGTCATGAACATAAGCGTGACATGGCGTCATAGCACTTACACAGACTTACTTATCTTCATCTTGCACATAGACCGATGGAACATTGCCCAAACTTGCCTCTTTCTTCTTCGCAGCGTGAGCACGCTGCTGAGCCTTGTGGGAGTGCAAACTCTTCTGTTGAGCATCAGCTGACCAAAGGGGTTAAAAAGCCATGGACACCTCTCACAGCCCCACGCTCACTCATAAATGCAAGCGTTGAAGTCTTGCAATTCCCGGTGCGGATCTAGGAACGATAGATCGACAAACCAACCCGACCATATAGCTTGTGCACCCGCTGATGCATGTGAGTACTTGACGATCGCGTTCAGTCGCCACAAAGTGCTCCGTCAAATTCCCTGAAACCTTACCGGCTCTAAGACAACCCTACTGAAGAGCGGAATACCTTTTGATATCCTTAAATGTCCCAGACATCCTCAGACGTCCCAAAGACCAAAACTTCAAGAGCTCTGGGTTGCCAACTCTTCGTTCGGCCTCGGCTGCAGCCCGGGCCTTGCTGGCGACCTCCGTGCGGTGCTCACGCAATAAACTGCCGAACTCCTGCACTCCCCCAACAACATGCCTTTGTGTCATCGTATGGTACCGTTGTCAGTGAGAAATGTCAACCTTCAAAGGCCCCTCGCCCCTCGCCTTCTCCTCCGCAGCCTTCCGCGCTTCGATGGCCCGCAGCTGTGCGGCGGCTGCACTCTTAGCTTTCCTCGGCAGCAAGCGCGGAGACAACATGAGAGAAACAGTACACCGACACTGTTCAAAGCGCAGCAGGCAGGGCATGCTTGTAGACTGGATGTGTCTGGATGTGACTCTCCTCTGCTTTCCCCTCTCCACTGTATAATGGCCAGCCACTCGAGGACCTCCTCGGCTGCGGCCGCGTTGCGAGCCGCTGTGGCAGCTCCCTTTCACTCGACTGCACTAATGCATGAAGGCTTGGGGGGACTTTGGTGTGGGCTGTTGCACGGCGGGGTCGCTTTGTGCCCATTTCAAAAGGCCTGCTGCAGTTGGATCACTTCTGCATCCGCACGCGCCTTCGCAGCCTGCGCCACGCCAAACTCGCAAAACGGCACAGCAATTGGCCACATAGTCTTCAGCAACTTCAGCAGCTGCGGATTCGGATGCCACTTCTTCGCAGACACGACATTCGAAATGTCTCTCAGCTAAAAAAGGGGCCAGGTCTTGCCCACCTCGACCTCACGCAAATACTCAGCAGCCTCCTCCACGGCCTGTGTACAGGTTGCTGAAACGCTGAGCTGCAGGAGAGCTGCAAGAGATATGCAAGAGAGCTGCAGGACAAGCAGCTAAGAATCAAACACACACACACACACACACACATAAGCTTTCCACACCTCGTCGGCCGCACCGTCCTCGTTTGCGCTCTGAGCCTTTGCGAGCTCCAAGCTCGCTGCGTCAAATGCAGCTAGCCATTCACGAGCTTCCTGAGCAAAACCAAAAGCCCCTGCCCACAGGTTCCCACAGTATCGCACACTGACATATGCCGATCAACATTCCCCCACTTCCCCAGACACAAACAGCGAGAGCACTGGCCGAGGGCCCGGGCCAGCTGTGCCACCCGCAGGCGCTCCGCGGCTTCCTGGGCTCCTCGCCTTGCTTGCGTGGCCTCATTATAGTTTTTGCAGTGCTACGCTTTTAAAAGCCATATCGTTAAAGCAACTTATCACGCTGAGCTCTTTAGACAGTGACATCGAAGGATATGGAAGGACTTGTCTCGCCTCATCCTGGGCCCGACGCACCGCGCGCTCAGTTGCATCCTGGATGCTGAACTCTGAACATTCTGAAACACCGGATGCTCGATGCTGCACTTCGCAAAACAAGCCTACACCTGATTCGCATCCTGCAGTATGCAGCCCTATGCAGTTCCGATATGTTATGCTATGTTATGCTGTGTTCGCTGTGTTACTGGCTTTATGTTACGTTACGTTATGTTGCATTACGTCGTCTTCGGACAGTCCTGAGCTGCGGCTGCCTGTACTGCACGCAGTTGGGCCAGCTGATCCTAGACGCGACAACGAGGCAAAGCTTCCTGAAGGTGTAAACAGTCATGAACTGACATAAAGTGCGTTACTGCTTTCGGGATACCTGCAAGCTAGGGCAGCTAGTAGAGTGCGACACAACATCGTATGTCGTTTGCCTGCGAGTCATCCACCAGCATCGGCTCATCTGAAATGGGAGCAGGTATATCCTGGATTGGCATTCCATGCCAGTTGAGCAAAGTACAGCAACAGCTTGAAGATGCAAAAACACCATGCATCCCCGGAGCTCGTCCTCGTCTGACTCCAGCGCTTGGCGAATGACCTTGTCGTGTCCGTGTTCCCAAGTACACTCGGTTGGCTTCCAGTCAGACATTACATGCGGATGATCTCACATGGTCATATGGCATCTGATTCAGCCCTGAACCTCCTGGCGTCGCTCCTGGAGCTCAGTCTTGTGGGTTTGCCAAGCTTTGGAGAAGTTCTCCGCCTGGTCAGCAGGCTGTGCGCACACAAAGCTAGTATGAGACGACGAGCTGAAGATGGTCTGCAGTCTCATGTACTCGAGCCTCAAAAGATGTCAGATCCATTGAATTTTATACATACGTATCAACATATATATCTATCTATATATATATATATATGTATACATATGTGTATATGTATACCTGCTCCCACACGCGAGCCTTGCAATGTAACCGCCACGACATAAACAGGTGCACCTGCAGCCGCAACAAATACGTCGCTGCTTATCCTGCAAATGCCGCTCCTGTGACAGCCTGGAACACCAAACAATCATGGGTAATGTGCTGTGCCCTCCCCCACGCCCCGCCCCACTACCAATCACAGGACTGGGGGCGGCGGGGAAACACCCCGCAACCGAAACTCTAAATGTATTTAAATGCGCGACAATGGGCAGGAACGATTACATCTACGTCGATCTACATGAGACTTCTGATACGAGGGAGGATTTTCAACTGCCGGCTCTCTGGCCGGGGATGGTCACGATCCACCGGCATGTTCTTGATGGCATCGCATCATTCGCTTGTTTTTCTACAGGCGCCTGCAGAATCTTCATGTGGTAACGAAACAGCATATCCCCGACCTCAGAGCCAGGGACCAGGAGCATGGAAGCACTCCAAACACAGCTGAGAGCCGAGCACCGGACGTGCTCCAGGCCGATTGCACGGTGCTTGGCAGCACGGAGGGCATGCAAGGCACGGCCTCCAAGTAAATGCACCAGTGACTTAGTGACCCTAAGCCAGAATGTCACCAAATAGCGCAGTGTCCCCCTGATAGTCACGCCTTGCAAACGCAGAAGTTGGGCATCCGACCTCCGATCAAGATCGTAGAAGGCATCAGCAAGGGATGCAGGTCGAAACTTCTTTGAAGCTGAAGCTCCCGCTGATCCAAGATGCGCTTGGCCTCGGCTTCACGCCACCTCGGGCCACGGGCTTTGTCAAGTTAGAATGCCTGCACAGCTTCTTGCAGTACCAAGCCAAAGGCCTCTGGGCTTTCTCGACTACAAGGCATTGGCGCCAAGCCTGGTAGTCAGAGCAACCACATCATCAACCATCGGTTTTACAACTGAAAAATCAGCATCCACTCGTTCCCAGGCCGGTCTGTACGGCAGTTGGATGAACTCTGCTTGAAAACACAGCAGGCCCGGCCATGAAGCATCGCATGCCAGAGAAGCGTAGCTTGACCTCTCAGTGGCCACAATAGCGGAAGCACGCGAGACAGGAAGATGCGCAAGCACAGGGCCTTCAGGCGGCCGGCCAAGACTTCCACGGCGTTGCTGGTCTGATCCGCAAGCTTCTGCTCCAGCCCTGCACAGCCTGAGCAATGAGGCCAGGGCGTCAAGATTCTTTATGAAACCGGGAATATGCCAAGTTTCATAACACGATACAAGTTTCGATTGTCATTTGTTTACCATCGGACAAGGGGCTGTCGTCCAAAGTACGCAGCGTGCGAGAACTGGATCGTAGCTCGCGTTCCAATGCTTGCGTGTAGCTGCACCTGGTGGTCGGCTGGTTGTACACCATCCCACCAGCCCTCTGTAAACTAGACAATCAGCTGTTTGTTCATATGCAACACCCTGCTGACAATCACTGCACACTGTCCTGAACGCATGCCCAACGCTTCTCGCGGGTCTTTTCTTTTTTCACCGGTGACACAATCGATAAGTATAGAGGCAGAGTCTGCTCGGGAGCATGCTGCTGCTGCGACAAGAAGCTCGACCGCCTCGACCAGCCCGCATATATCCAGCTCCAGGGACAATGTTTGTCTCGGCTTTGGGAAGTATAGGAGCCAAGCCACTACGGCCTCTCAGATCAACTCCAGCGAGGAGCTGGAAAACCGTAGTAGCTGCAAACGGCCTGCATGCTGGGGACCCGTGATAGTCTCTGATCAGGCATCTAAAGACAGACTATATTATTTAGTCTAGACTCTCTCGACAGACTTGGGCTCAATACGTCCGACCGTTGCTGGGGCAACATCTCACAACCGTGACCCCCTGAGGCCTCCAGCTCCTTGCGCAGTCGCACGGCATGGTCGGGGCCTTCGCAGCCCTGGATGCAGATGCAGTCGCCACCGACCTGCCCAGGCAACGTCGGAGCCGAAGGCGAAAACTCCCGCACAGCCAGTCACTCAATTTCTTCCACGATCTGCCGTAACAAGCATCTGCAATAGCGTGCTCAGCTGAAGCATGTCGGTCGCTCTTCCCTTTACTCAGTCACGGAAACTCGAAGTTGGACCCAGTAGCAAGAACCTCACATTGGCGTTCCAATGCATCACACTTACTTTCCACCGCACGTGAAAGATGTGGCACAGGGGCACAGGGGCACGCGGACTTTGCAACATGATTGAGATGTGAAGCCATTTATCACTGCTTTCTTTTTGGACTTTCTTTCGTTCATGTGGACTTTCTTTCGTTCATCTCTGTCGAGCTCGGAGGCCTCCGCCTCTGCGCGGACGCCCTGCATGGCAGAGAAGTGGCCCAAGTCCCCGCGAAGGTCGACTCGGAGCTGCTCGGGCGCCTGCGTAGGAGGTCGTAGCCGAGGAGAAGCATGGAGGTGGTATCAAGTATTAACACGTGGACAAAGTCGGCCGGTTGCAGGAGCCCAATTAAACCGAACCCGTTTGGCAACTCTAGACCCGCGACTCAGCACCTGACTTTGCTGAGCGTGCCAGGCCTGCAACTTGGACTCACGTTGTAAACGTGCAGCAGCTTGAAAGAAGCAGTTCCAGGCAGTCACAAGAAGGGCCCCAGACGGAAGCGCTGCCCGGAGGGTCGATGCACCGGGCGAGTCGCCCGGAGGTGACACGGGCCTCAGCAGAAAGAGCAGGATTCTGCAAAAAAAACATTTCAATAATCGTCCAGTGGGTTTGTCCGTCCCTTCGACATGCAAGAATCGTCTCTGCAGTATGGTATATGTGCTATGGATGCCCTCCGACGGCCCAGACGAATCGCCAGGCTTACGGCCAACTCCGGTGATCTCTACGAGCTTCAGACCTCAGGATCGAATATCTCAAGCAAGCTCAAACTCCGTGAATAGCTGGTAACTATCGGAATCCCACAACATGCCAGACAGAGCTCTGACCGGATGCAGATGCTCTCGACTGGCACAGAATGCTTTGGTCATGCCATTTTTGAGTGTGGGCTCAATATTCAAGTCATAGAAGCGCCGGCAGATGCCGGAAGTCGTGCTTCCACGATATGCGGATACTGAGGCCAATGCCTTCCTGAGCTGATACCTGCAAACAACATGGCTAACGTGCATAGATGGTAGTAGGTAGTAGGTCAAAGCGTTGGTAGACGCCTTGACGTTCACGCCCGGCACCATCTTCTCCGCTATGTGCAGAGCCGTCTGTGCCTAAGCTTCCAAGAGGCCATGCAGGAAACATATAATGTTCGTGGTGGCAGAATGTTGCTGAGTTGAGGACATGCAGAGTCAGCTCCTGCGCAAGCACATGCAAGCAACACAAACACCCAGCTGTTGTTGCACTCAGGTGATCGAAGACTTATTCCGGTACCAGTATCAGTTCTCGCCACAACACAAGCCTGCCAGAGTTCTTCGTTGCCCATGTTGCTTCGAGATTCTTAACTCTCGTTGCACCCGTTTTCTAGCTGACTGCTCGGCTGTGGCAGTTGCATCTTTCAAGGTCACGATGGCTAACTGTACATGCCACTGCGCATCCAAGCGCATCAATGCGCGTCCTTGCGCTGACCACAGTAGCTGCACGAAGCGACTGCACAAATTGCCCGTGCTGCCGGCTAAGCCTGTTCTTATCTGCCAACTTTGCACTAACCGACTGCGCAAGACTTCTCCTGCTTCACTGCCTCATTTGGCCGGACTTCTCCGTGCCGGTAGTCACGCGGCTCAGCTTTCGGCTTGCCGGTGTAGGCGATGCACCAGTCAGTGCGTGGGCACAGACCACGGCCATCGCAGCAGATGTCTGAAGCCAGTTGACCTGCACACTGCGATATGTCTGGCTTGTGCTGTAAGCTCTCGTTTAACTGTTTAACCGTTTAACCTTGTATTGCCACAGGTGTGGCTCCGGAATGTAGGGCATGGCAGTACATCAACCCTACGTAATTAAGCACGTGCAAGTACATTCCGTTCTCCCAGCCCACAGGGAACCTGCAACCATCTGCGTGTCGTACTGTGTGCCGTTGTCGTCCACAAGCACGGGCACGCTGAGCGTGCCTGCAGGAATTTTTCCCGTCTCGATACGAGGCCAGGATCCTGCTTCGGTGTCGCATGTGTCGCCTTGCCAAAGTCCGTCTTTGTTGAACACCGCAAAGACCGTCACCCAGCCACTCAGGTATCGCGGCCCACTTCCACCACCCAAGTGGCAGCAAACCTTGTCCCAAAAGTCTAAGTTTGCCTTTCCGGACGCTGAGGCGAGGAAGTTGTCAAGTACCGGGGCAAGCATTGTGAGCCATTGGCTCATCTTCCGGTCTCTCAGGTCAAAGTCGAGCAAGCGGTCTGCCTTTTGCCGCAGCAGGGTCCAATCCTCGACGGTGCCAAGCAGGGTCACCTTGGGGATACCACAGCACAAGCGACAAACGTACTCAAAGTAGTGCTGCAGCGTAGACATGACAGACACTGCCGCAACCACACGGTCGTTCACCGTGGTGGTGGTGAAGGCTGGCAACAGCCAGGCTACCATCTCAGGGTCCTTGATGTTCTTCACGATGTTTTCGTCCACCATACGCTCTGCGAATTTGGCGTAGTCGGCAGTGAAGAGCGTGCCCCCCATCTCCACCACCAGGGTCTTTTTGCCCTCGAAGTTTACGAACCTGTCACGCAGAGCTTCTGCATTGGCATTGACATAGAAGCTAAACTGGGTCAGAATAGCTTGCCATACGTCATCTGGTCGGAGGACAAGCTCATGGTGTCGGTTATAGGCCTCCATGATCGTGGACACCAACCCCCATGGCGCAGGACAAGCCTTGTCCTCTGGTCCGGACTGCTGGATGATGATGGGTTTTTCAGTCTTCTCCGACTCTGGAACCGATTCGGGACCGCGACGGCGTGGGTTGGGAACCTGGCCGAAAGCTGATTGGAAGCTTTTGTTTCCTGCGAAGATCACCGGCACCGGCGTGACCGACGCTCTTACCTCCTCTACGGTCGTCTGCTTGCTGCTTGCCGGAAAGGACACTCCAAATGGCATGCTGGCTCTAATGTCGGAAGAGCGGGGCGGCCGGTGTGGGAGCTTGAGCTTCTAGATGTTTCACTGGAGTTCCAGATGCGCACAGCTCCCAGAATCTCACAGTGTGTTTGAGCATTCGCAGCAAGACTGAGCCCCTGCGTCCTTGGAGCCTAACAGTCGCGAGCTTCCTGCTGCTAGGCTAGCAGGGAGGATCAGCTGGTCCTGGCAAGGTTCTGCTGAGATGATGGGCAAAAAAAAGGCTAGCCTGAAGCCTGCTCTAGCTACATCTACAACGTTGTGAGACAGGTGATGTCTGTTTGGGTAAGGCTCAAGTGAAACTCCAGAGCCCAACTCTAAGGCCCCAAAGCCCTGGGCCCTAGGTCCTAGAATGTCCTTGTTAGCCCTTAAACCTGAAACTCCGACTCAACAAAACCCCGAAGCTCTTTGGTCCAGCAGGTGTTCGTCCAGAGCTGCCCCAGTTTTCAGCTGCGCTTTCAGTGGCACCAGCCTCAGGAAGGCTTTTTGTGGTGTTTAAAAGGTTTGTTTTGGTGGGCGGGGGTCTCTGTTACAAGAGAGAAAATGAGCGAAACAGTTTCGGAACAGATCTGCAGCAAAGGCCTCGCTCGGAATGACCAACAAAAACGCAGCGAAAAGTCAGCACTTTTGGCCATCACCGCTTCAGCCATGAAGAGCTGCATTCAGGAGTATGCAACACTGTATTTGCTGGTGCTTGTGCCGGCACGAGTCTGCTGAAAGTTTGACACACATTGTAGAAAATTCCCGCGCGCGAAAGCGGCATCCTCTTGCGAGGTTGCAATCTCCTGTATACCATGTAGAAAGCATGCCATCTGGTCTGGGACGCTGACGCCTTCTCTGCACAAGCGCCCCACACATCGTAGAGGGAGCCACGGCCCTGAATCAAGCCCGACTATTTCTCGTGACTGTTTGGCGCACAATCGTCAAGGAGCAGTGCTTAAAGAGTCAAGCACTTACCTCAAATTTAAAGTCGTCTCCACGTCGTGTCCTTCGGTCCATCGAGTGGGCCACCGGATGCGTGGAACACACCTCCTCCAGACATCTCTACCTTTGTGCTACTGACGGCGCAACCAAGACTGATTTTAATCACTGCACGGGCACTGCATGTTCTGAAGATGCACAGGGATGAAAACATGGCCTGCACACATTTGCGTCTAAGCCCATGACAAGGATGCCAAAGGATGCCTTGAACACCTGCGTCACATGCTCTTGATTGCTCATTCACTCACCTTTGTAGCGTTCAATTGGCCTTAACTGACATGCTGCTGCTGCTACTACTGCTACTGCTACTGCTACTGCTACTGCTACTGCTACTGCTACTGCTACTGCTACTGCTACTGCTACTGCTACTGCTACTCCTACTACTACTACTACTACTACTACTACTACTACTACTACTACTACTACTACTACTACTACTACTACTACTACTACTACTACTACTACTACTACTACTACTACTACTAGTACTAGTACCACCACTACCAATACTACCACCACTACTAGTACTAGTACTAGTACTACTAGTTCTCATGCTCATCGGTTTGGTAGAAGAAGTGCTCATTGCTCTCAAAATTGCATCCGGCTTTACAGGCTGCATGCGCTATGAAAAGACGACGACGTCTCAACCCAGTCACATCTTCCTGAACCCTGGCCTTCTGCCCTTCAGGCATTTGCTCGGCCTCGCAGCGAACCTGCACCTGGCCAGGGTAACAACCTTTCATTTGGGACTTGGAGGCCATTGCACGCTTTAGGGGGAGTCGAGTCTCGGTGTCGTTTTGCTTCCTTGACATTACCCAAACCCTCTGCCAGTGGCACAGCACTTCAGCTGTAGATGTCTAAAGTGCCGCCATCTCCAGGCTTGCTTAGGTTAGTGTCGAAGCCCTCCCGCGATGCCATTGCACTCTTCTCACGAAACTGCCTTGGGTTTTGGAGCTCCTTTGTCAGCCAGCTCCTGCGCAAAGGATCTCAGAAAAACACGAAGATGCCACATTGGAGCATGGTCAAAGTCGGCGTTGGCAATGACATCTGCTCGCAGTCAGGGCTTCAGGTGCCAACGTTTGCACGGCAAGATAAAGGTATCAAGCCCACACCTCCAACAGCCATGGCTCGAAGTCCTCCTCGGTCCTCCGGACTCAGTTCAATAGAACAGATGATGATCGTGTGACGTCACGTAGCGTTAGTAGAAGCTGCCATCTGGTGCCGTCCTCGTCACGTCCTCCTCATCCAACCAACCGCTGGGTGGAGTGGCATAGCAGACGGCCTCCACAGGTCCGGAAAATCATCAAGGACACTGACAAAGACACTGAGTAGTGAGTAGTCATCAGCACTCTGCCTGCAAGGCTACCGGCCAGCTGTTCCAGATAAGGTATAAACGCTCGATCACTACAAGCGCACATCTACCAAAAGCTCAAGCGCACCTCAATCTTCGTGACATGGCCTCTCTTGTCTATCACAATGGGCTTCAGGGATCCTGCAAAAGGCATTGAAGGGCCGGACCAAACAAGATCATGAAGTCTGAGATGCTATCAGCTTGCCTGCTAGCGCATGCTGACATGACTGAGAGCTACAGCTTCAAACTGCGCCGCACCTGCCAAGCCATCAACATAGAGATTCACGAGGCCACCTTGCAGAAGAGGTTTTCGAATTATTTGCATTGTGCCGCTACAATTCAGAGAACTTCCACGAGAGACCAAAAAGACAAGGGAAGTGAAGACCAAGAAGATCTTGTCATCTTCGCTGTGCTCTAACAATGATGATTCCAGGCCTCCGGTGGGAAAGAAACCGCGGTGAAGGCAGTGGGCCGTAACTTTGACCTGAAAGATCATGCAAAGATTGCGCCGGCACCACTGAGCTTTGCAGGAAAGCCTGGAACCCTTTGACTCAAGCACCGCACGCCCATCCGCCCAACCACAGGTATCAGTGCCTTCGATTGCACTGGCTGCAACACTCCGTCAGCCGACCTAATTTCCGGATCTGAAGGCAGAGCTCTCTGCATGAAGTCGAAAGGCCTGCAAAAGCATCCAAGTATTGACACAGGTCCCAAACTGCGCTGGAACCGTGTAAGCTCTGGTGCCCGAATGTCAGTGAAGTGCAAGCGCGGCGGTTCTGCGGAGAGAAATCAACGTCAGTCCCCCCTCGCATCTCCACCTGCAGTGAAAACATCTCCGCGTGCTGAAAACACACCGAGAGGAGATGCAGCGTGAAGCTGGTCCACGCACTGGTTTCTGCGGGTCACCCATCTCTTCTAGATTCTTCTTGCCTGTGGAGGTCAACGAAGCCCCCATGTCTTTCTGTAGACCCTATTCTCAAGACTCATGTGAGGGGGGGATCTCCAAGACCTCCTCTCAAGGCTTTTTGGGGGGAAGCTTTTCGGAGGCTCCTGGGAGTGGAGCCTGGAGGCCCCTTGAAACGTCGCCGTGTTTACCCTTTGTGCCCTTGTGCCTGAACCTGAAAAAAGCAGTCGCAGCAGCAACACGGCCAAGAGAACAAACACTGTGGTGCATACGCCCGAACTTGTTGTGTGTACATTTCTTGTTCTGGTAGTTGTCCCCATTGCAAACCCTGCCTAGGAGATGAAATCATTTCGTGCGGGTCTTCTAGGGCTTCATATACTCAACATCGCTGGAGAGGTTGTCCAGGTCCGAGATGAAGGTCACCGCAAAGGCATGACTGTTTATGGAATGCTCGGGTTTTTTAGGTTTTCGGGTTCTGGGTACAATTCACACATCTACTGTCTATCCCGAAGATCAATGGGTGTAATACTCTAGGCAGCGTTTTTAAATGACTATTCTGGGTATATAGTTTGCGTTGCATTTATAGAACGGATTTAAGCGAGAACATCGGCAAGCAAGTATTTACGTAGGCTTATTGGTCGAACAAAGAAATCGCCGGGCAGGTCTGCGACGTACACGGCATCCCAAAACAAAAGCAAGCGACGAGCAGGAGCATGGATTGGCTGGATGAACAAACATTAAAGGGTCGTCATGTTCTGAAGAACGCATTCTGAAAGCCATCTCAGAAGCCACGTCTCCATAAATGGGCGACTACACAATGACATGCAATGACCAGCCTCAGAGGTTCCACCGGCAAAGGCCAGCGGCATGAGCCCAGCCTCAAAGATTCCACGTCTCCGTTTGTTCACAACTGCTCACAGACTCGTAGACAACTCGGCCTGCGATGAACTGCGCAGTGCTCAGAAAGAGTTCTCGAAAGCAAGCCAAACCATCTGAAACCCCTGTGACTCTTCCGCTGCAAGTAGAGGTCGGCCTGGACCGTCAGGGTGATGGCACCAGCGGTCTTTGGGTTGGTGGAGAAGCTGCCCTGCACGGCTGATACGGATAAATCCAGCAGCGTTGCATCCTGTGACTTTTTGAGGCGTGACTCTTGAGTCGCGAAGCAATCGCCAGTGCCTGCTTCGTCTTCTTGGGTGTGAAGGTCACTTCACAGGAGCCAACCTGCGGAGAACAGTCGGAAAATGTCGCATAGAGTCAAACCTCGGAGGCTGCAGTCTTCAACTGGCTCTTGGCAGGGTCTAACCTGGGCAAGTCACACAAAGTCACAACTCGGTGCCTTGTCGCCCTGCAAGGATGCGGATGTCAAGTCACGCACCTCGATGCCCGGCCCTCACATTCTCTTCCATTCTCTTTTGTTTCTTTTGTCCATGCTCGAGAAAGAACGCTAGGATTCGGGCCAGCTTGAAGGACTCCAAGTGCTGGGCCGCAAGACCTGGCGTCTTCCGGCCAGCCCGAATCTTTGTGATGCGCACCTGGCATTCCGTGATCTCTGCTTCAGCCATTGCTGCTTCAGACGTAAATGTCACATGGATCATAGACTCCCGTGTGTCCTCCTGTGGCCTCTACCCGGCAAAGCCCCCTGCCAGCTCCAGGCCCCATGAGTCGATTTCTACCAAACTTCTGAGGCTTTACCGTAGAAGTATGCGTAGACTATGGCCAAGCAGTGCATGGTTTAAGTTGTGAAAAGCGGCTGGATAGCCCAGGATCGCAGCCTGAGCAAGCACAACGTGCATGAAAGACCCATTCACGCAGCAGTTCGGTTCTGAAACTCTCAAGAACGCAAGGCTGCAAATGTTGCAAGGGTCTTGATGGCCCTCTGGACAAATCAGACATGTCCGTCCCTGTTCAAGGCATCGACAGCAGAAGCCCTCCTACATTCCGGGCAGCAAACGATAAGGGGAAACTTTCAATCACCACTGCATCCAAGAAGCATATCCAAGAGAATTGCGCAGGATCTGCCCTCCACCCTCAAGCACGGAACCATCAACCTGACAAAAACGCATGACTGTTGCTGGTACATGCTGGTACGTCGGGCTGAGTGGAATTTTCTGGGAAGCTGCCTCCTTGCGTCACTCAGCTGTGGGCTGTGGATGGCGGACGATGGCTCTTTACTCTCCGGAGCAAAGGTCATACCATCTTCAAGAAAAGTGCTTGAACAAGACAAGATTGAACACTGCAGCAAGAGCAAGTGGAGGGCCAGATGTGCGCAAACTTGTTGACATGTACGTAGGGCAGCTGTTGGTTCTTGAGCTTGTCATGAAGATGCACGGCGGCCTCGAGAAGCGATGCCGCAGCAGCTGCTCCGGCAGTCCTCTCAAGGCAAGTCGCACACGGCAAGCAAGAAAAGAAATGTGACCAAGGAAGTCACACGACATTCGCCCGAACTTCCCTAACTTACCTACCAATACCGAGTCAATGCAGCAGGGGCGCTTCTTCTCTCTCTCTCTCTCTCTCAGCCCTGGCCTGCTGCCTTGCGAAGGCACACTGGCCGGTGGACCTCTCGCAATGCAACAAGCAAAAACATCAGTAATCGCGCCTCCAGCTGCACCATTTGGATCACGTGCAAGAGAGCATGGAAGGCCGCTGCTCTTTGAAAACAAAATGTTTCAGGCTACCGAGCAGCTCATGAGAGCCAACGCGACACCCATCCTAGATCATCCTAGAACATGCGGAAGTCCCTCGTTCATGATTCTCACCTTCTTCTCCAGCGAGGCGGAGATGAGACTTCTCCCGCCGCTCGTCCTGCAATCCCAAGCCCCATCCCGCCAAAGACAGGAAATGAAAACACTCCGGATTCCTGCAATTGCATGGCACCACCGCCCTGAGCAGCTGAATCTGCCAGCTTTCGGGTCACCACTTGCGCTGCATATGCAGACAGCAAAGCTGTGTGTATTGCGCTGCAGCAAAAGGACTTTTATCTTGAGGCTGTGCGAAATTAGCGACTGATTTGAAGCCTCGTAAGCGATGGACTCCACCATGAAGCTTCGCCCTTCCAAAGTGGTCCTGCCCATACTTGTTTTGATGAGACTTGTATATGGACTCATGCGGGGCAGATGGGACGGCTGCACTTGACACACCGATATCAAAGAAGCATGCACAATATTGACATGCTTCTCAACGTGTGACAAAGCATTGGACCTTGATACTTGGGACAGAATTGCACATCCAAGATAGTCTCGTTTGTTTGGGTGTGCTCGAACCAAAAGCCTCTTCGACGCAGTCCTGTTTGCATCTACAAAGTCCTTGGCCTGTTGCCAAGCAGATGCCTGGCGCTGGGCTGCATGGACTCTGGTTGGCTGCTTGTACCAGTCGAGTATCGAGTGCCAGTGTGATGAGAGAGAGAGAGGGGGAGAGAGAGAGAGAGGGAGAGATTGAGAGAGACTTTGCTCAGAGTTGGCTTGTTTACATGCCGGGCCTGAATGTAGGCCAAGGAGACGTGCCCATCCTCATGCACGTCACACCATTTGCTGCAGGTGACAGCGCGCGCGCGCGTTTGCATGCCAAACGCGCAGTATTGTCATGCACTGGTGCCGGGTGGTGGTGGCGTCATGTCGCATCTGCTTACTGGATGATGCATGCTGGGGCTCTGACGCTAGTTGGGTACGGATCATGGCTTCGCCTGCAGCACAGCATTTCTCGGGCTCCAAACACATCTGACTACGCATGACGACATTGACTGCGTCTGACTGCTGTGACAGATCTCGTAGATCTGCCGCTTCATCAACAGGGGCCCTCAGCCCGGCACCGAGAGCCCTCGTCAGGCTCTCCCTGCAACCAGGTGTCCTCAACCACAGCCGAATGGCACCAGTGCCACTCTTCCCGTGGCCCAACATGGCCTCATGACTCCTAAACTGGCCCTAATCCTGTAGACCCCCTAAGCCCTAAACAGTCTAAGCGCATCCCTAAGCTCTCAGTCCTTGAGAGCCCGAAGTCCAGGCGACTCAAAGGCTACTCCTGCAACATGGAGTGCCGACCATGGTGCTACTCTGTTTGAAGCGGGCAGCACTCCGAAGAACAAAGGAACCTGTTGGTCTCTCTAAGAGCAAAAGAAGATTAGCCAATCGTCTTCCAGCCTGGCCAAGATGGATTTCAGATTCCTCTTAGATCTCCAAGCGCCGGCGGCGCAAAACATTGCAAGATTACATGCAAAGATGTGAGCCCATTTGTCAGCAATTGCAATTTTTGGATCCCGCTCCTATGCAGTAGACCTCAGCGTCCCTGACGGAAGAAGTGGTTGGCAACAGTAAGCTTGACAGCCAGCAGCAGCTTCCGGTACAATATAGTAGGTAAGTAACAGTCTCGTTGCAGAGGTTGAGTGAGGTGTTGTTGACCGTCAACTACAGGTACACGGAATTTGTGGCCAACACAGGCATAGCAAGTCTACTGCATTGCACATCGAGCCTTATTCGGTCAACGTGGGACAAAAAGAACTCCTTCACTTTCAACTCGACAGGCGCCGAGTTGCCACACACCTCCATGCAGGATCTTGCCTTCTGAATACACGACAGTCGGTGATCCACTGTCCACCAGCCTGCTCCAGGCGGTCTAAGTGATCGATCTTGTTCATGCGGAGAGCAAACGTCACATGAAGCCTTCAGCGCAAAGAAGGAAATCAAGCCCTTCCCTGTCAGGCTACACGGCGGGCCCAGAGGCGATCAGTGCAGTGCAGAGGTCATGCATGCTTCTTAAGGGTCAGCCGGTCGGCACCACTGGTTCAGTGTGGACTTCGTGCTTTCAGCAGCATGCCGGAAGTCAGCCAGAAAAAATAGCCAACATCGGCCTCTCCCGCGCAGGTTTGCCACCATGGCTGTGATCGACCCATTCGTTTGGCACCTGCCGAACTCGCAACTCTGATGAATGCGGGGCAACCCTGGAAAAGCATGCTCGTGACATGAGTTATGTAGACGGCTCCATCTGAAGGTGCTACATCCAACATGCCACGGTTGCTGGCTCCAGGCTGGTTGCACTGGTGCACCTGGTTGGAGATCTGCCAAAGCCCAAGAGGATCGTCATCCTTAGTCTACTCCTCACTTGTTCATGGAATACTCTTGAGTACGGGTGACGACCAGACATCTTGCATCATGCCTGCCCTACACTCCTATCTGTTTTGCAGATTCCGCGTCATGCTTGTGTCTGAAAAGCACAGAGCAATAGGGCAGCGCTCACAGCCAATGCTGCGCGCGAAAAACGATCAGACAAGAAACGCCTTTGGCGCCCTGCCTGCGCCGAAACGGCAACTGCCAGAGGCAGCAAGTTCTGATCCTATTTGAACTGCTTTGTCATCTGCGTAGTTGGACTTTTCTCTTTGGCCAAATCAAGAAGTACTGAGTGTATACAGGTGTGCCCACTAATTTAAAGGGCGGGCTACCTGCTTAGTGATCCGCTCGACAGCTATTGAGACACAGGCATCTCATTGGACGGTGTTGAGCGAAGGCCTCTCGCCTGCTCAAGGCATGGGGTCGACAACGCACTTGTGAACCATTGCCAACTGGTCTCGCCAGACTTTTGGCCTTCCTTGCTTTGAGTTTCTTGGCACGCCGGAAGGTAGCCAGCACAGCTTTCCGAACCAGCGCGTGCTCCTGCATGGTGCTTCACATCACATATGGATGCCGCTGAGTGTTCAGCTCCAGTACACACTGCACCTCATGTGAGTTCTCGTAGTGGTCCAATGTCCTGGCAAAAGAATACACATGAATATACCAAAGGGGCAAATCGAGCCTGACTTGGCAAACCACCGATGCTCTTGCAGACCAGGGTGCTGGATCGCATGAAAGTCGACCTCACAGCCATACCGCTTGAGCCAGTCGCGACCATCTTCCTGACGCGCGAGCACTGTATTCTTGGTCGCTGCAAAGATGGCTCATTCTCTCATGTAGCTCATCTAACCGTCTGAGATGCGACGACTATGTACATGCCATGATGTTGCGATTATCAAGGCTGGCATATGCTGTGTTTTCTGATCATGCCGTTCGCCCCATCAAGCTGCACAGATAAACCGCCGCCACCACCACCACCACCGCCGCCACCACCGCCACCGCCACCACCACCACCACCACCATCACCGCCACCACCATCACCGCCAGCACAACAGCACAGCACCAGCACCATCACACCACAACCAGCAGCACATGCCTGATTCGCGAGCAGGTAGACATCATCCAGAACTCCGGCAGTCATGAAGACCTGCGTTTTCAAAGGGAAGAAGCGCCAAACACACATTCAGGGCTGAAGGCATCAAACTTCGGCGAGTGGACTGCAGGCCATCCCCGGCACAGTCGTTCCGGCTTCACAAGTTCTGAGGTCGCAGCCCGAGGCTTGGCCGAGGGACCAGTGTAGGCACGCTTTGTCGACTTCTCGGCACCTCCGTGTAGGAAGGGAGAGAACTTCAAGTGGCTTGTTCGACCGTTAGCCCTGGCACGTCAGGGAACATTCTAGCTTCAGACTCCAGACAAACCTGCCTGGACCACACTGAGATGTGCTCACTGCCGGCTCAGTTTCCTCCACGACAGCCTCATGGCGGTCCATCCTCAGCTTGCGACCGAAGCCTGTGACAGCATGTCAGTACTTGCATGGCTTAGCAAACTATCTTCAAAGTCATTTGGCCGAATCACTTGGCCAGCTTTAGGCTCAGGGCTTAGGCCTTTAGGTTTCGGCCTTAAAGCTTTGGGCTTAGGCTTAGGGTTTAGACCATACTTCTTAAGGGTGTGAGGACGAATTTAATGCATGAACGATGTGAACGAAGTCCTCTGTCTCCAGGAGTTGATCTGTTGAGTCGTGAAGGTAACAGCCAGGAATAATAAGTCTTTTAATTTAATAAGACCCTGTTCATCTCCCTCATTCGTGCGTTCATTAAAAGTCCTAACTTCGTTCATTAACTTACAACTTGGGCTTTTAATAGAGAGCGCAGTGAGTTAGATTACACATGGGTGAAACGAGTGCGTGAATCTAGTGAGCAAGTGAGCGCAGTGAGGGTTTCGGGGCGCTTCAGTTAGAAACATTCGCAAGTATCAGTACCGCAAAAAACAAGGAGAACAGCGGCCCTCTGTAAGAAACTGTGGCGAAACAAAAGAGGCATGGGCTTTAAGGTCTATGCGAGTCTGTGCCTCTTAGGTCACTCCACAGCGTCAAAGATGCAGGCTCAAATGCGAAAAGTAGGGCCTCTAGGGCTTTGGAACAGTATCAGTCAACGGCATCTAGGTTTCCGAGCCCCTTCATAGGAGGTTCAACCCAAATGGCGCCTCGTGAAATCAGCACATATGTGCAAGCGAGCAAAGCTTCGCAGATGGATGTCCCATCGATTTCGGGATAAGGCACTCCAGATGCAGCTCGGGCGCGTCTGCTTCATCAGCATGCCGCGCTGCGAAATCACCAGACCCAAGTCGAATGGAAGAGCGAGACCAACCTCCAAGCTGATGCAGCCTCCTGGAAAGCCAGTGGCAGAAGACCGCTCATGGGCCCTATGGGCAACGCGGCTGCACACGTGTACTGATGCATTCTGCGAAGCTTCGACGAGCAGATTCAGTTCTTCAAACGCACTTGACATGCACGGAACAATGCGGCATCAAGGCTCCAGGCTCCAGGGCTGCTTGGCATCTACTTGGCATTCTGCCTCCATCATCCCTTCCAGCAGGCCTTGAGAGTAGCCGCCCAGGAGCACACGGTCCGCAGCTTCCAGTTGTGAGACTTCTGCCCCCACCTCCACGCGAGCAATGTTGGGTTAGGGGACGCTCAACGCATGCCAGGCTAGAGATCGCTTGCATCTCAGCAATCAATGGGTAGCGTTTCAAGTTTCGAGTCTGTTCAGAACAGTGCAATGCAAGCGACTCCCCAACGAGCGATGCCAACCAAGCCGCCACGCCAGAGACGAAGTCGACAGCTTTCTGAAGGTCCCTAGTGGAAATAACCTCTTCGTGACATCGGCGCGTGCCACCCCGATTGCTCCTGTGGCACGGAGGCGCAGGGAGTCGCACCATGTGGGGGCGGCAGTAGCGCATTGCTACCAGAGGTTGCATGCATAGGACAACCGAGCAAGAGATACTTGCAGCTCTGCCTGAGATGAAATTGACTCCCCGTCATGAGAGGGAAAGTTCTAGTCAGTCTAGTGCGAAGAACTGACGAAGCAGCAGGCGTCCTGTAGCGAAACCACTGCCTCGGCTGGAGACAGAACATATGTGAATGCAAGTGGAACACAATGGATCACCGTGGGTTTCTTAGTTTTGCTAACTGTCATCGTGAGAACCTAACTATGCTGTCCAGGCGGCTTGCCCCAGTCAATGTGCTGTGCTCCTCAGCTGGGCGAATGAGCTGACATGGGATGAAATGAGCCTGAAGCATAAGTTGAAACTCATCCAGCCGCATGCGCCGGTGTACAGGAAGCAGGTGCTTACTCAGGCCTTTGATGGCCTGTGCTCTGATACAAAGCTGGTTGAGGCCCAGTGTCCAGGGCAAAGGATCTTGCAGTAGTCGCGGATCAAGCGGCTGTGCACCTGCGCAGGCCCCTCTGCAAGGCCTTCAAGGGCTCACAGTATGGAGTAAGCGCCCGGGCAGCAAGTTGAACATCAGGAAACAAGGAAAGGAAGGGCACGGAAATTGTGACACCTTGTGACATCTCTGACTAAAGGTGCCCAGGCACAAGCAGGTCCTTTACCAAGCCCTCCGGGCCCAAGAAGAATGTTGAATAACAACCCATTGGATGGCAGACCACCAGGGAGAAGCGATGCTCCTTCCTGCATCAAACGTGTCGAGCGGTAAGTTCGCGAAACCTGCCATGGCCACAAACACAGCACATGTCCTCGGCATGACCACCGGAAAAGCGGGGAAGCTTGAGTTCGGCCGTTTCACCCACTTCCACTTGACCAGCACCTGAGCACGTTTTGGCAGAGGTCCGCCACAATCCGCCACAACATCACTTGTCATTGCTAGCACTGACTCAAAAGTAGACGTCCAGCTGAGAAGCGCAAACTCAGCTCGGCGCCCGCGAGCTCTCTTTGCTCTCTTTGCTCTCGGCTTTGCCCGCAGCTTTTGCTGGAGCTTCCTTTGCCTTATCTGCCGGCGCCGGCCCTTGCTCTGCAGAAGCAGCAGCCTTTGCCTTGAAACGACATCTGCAACCAGCCGTGCATGCTGAGGCTAACAGTGAATCCCTGTAATGGATGGCTCATGCTAGAAAAGCCGAAAAAGAAGCCTTGACGTCGCCAGAAGCGGAAGCTTTGACCGCTTTGGCAGAACGCTTGCCAGATTTCGATGGCCTTGCTGACTTCCTGGGACGGTCGCGAAACCGTTTCATGCAGCTCTGGTATGCGCCCGTACGGTCAGAAGCACAGGGACGCAGCAAATACTGAACAAAACTCAGAAGCGGAAGCTATACTACCAGGATCGACGTGGTACACAGTTCAAGGGGACGATACTGTGCTCTAAACTCTTGTGCTCCTATTACTGCATTCAAGCGTCTCGGAGCGTATCCCACTCAGCTGCTTCTTGAGATAAGCTGAAGCCTGTACAAAGACCATCTGGCAAGTCAAGCTTGGTCTTGAAAAAAGGACCTGCTTCCCAACAAAGTGGCCTCGCCATGCTGCATTCCATGGGTAAGAGGTCACATGAGCAGCATCCGGCCTTCGAGGTGTACTTCATTTTCGCCAGTGTGTGTTGCAGGGTCTTCCGCTCGACCTCTGTGACACCTTTGCCATCTTGCGCTGCCTCCCAGAGGCTGTGCGCTTCCGCATACGAAATCTGACCTCAGCGTGCCACAGAGTCTTTCTGTGGCTTCCTCATGTCAGCACACACACACACAGACGACAGAAAGACAGACAGGCAGGCAGGCAGGCGCGCGCACACACACACACACACACCAACATGCACCACCACCTGCACAACGAGTATGTTGCCAAGGCCTCTGGGCCATCTGGCATCCGGACAAGCAGCGCTTCTTCTGTTCAGGACTGACCCGGGGTGGGTTCGGAAGCCGAATGGTGGGCTTCTGGCTTTGTACGTCTCTGGCCTTGCATCTACAGAAGCTTCGGACGAGTGGCACGAAGGGCTTCGTGTGTTGTGCTTGGCTTCTGGTCTCTTATGGATCACAGCCTGTGGCTCTGTACTTGCTGCCGCGGGCGCTGCTGTCGCTAAATGCTATGAGCATCTTCTGGTTGCTGCTGTTGTCACGTGTTGCCACTGATTCTGGTGCCGCGGCCCTGCGCGGGTCCACGGGCGCGGGGCTGCAGGCATTAGGCTTCAGGTGTGTTACAACTGGGGATTGAGCATTTTGGAGGTTGGGAATACTTTCATGTCGTCCTTCGAGGCTAAGCAGGATATAAAGCTTGGGTTCGAGGGGTTTAGTCTCCGTGGATGAAGGCTCTGGGACGTTACAGGCTTTCGGAAGACTTCCTCCAGGGCTTGGCTATCGATGCCCGACATCATCCTCCAGCTTGCACTTTTGAACCCACCCGCCAAGGCGGACGCGCGAAGCGTTCAAAACTCGCTAAGACTTTTCAGAGCCTCGTCATGCCGAGCTACCGTCTTTGACGTATCGTTCCGCCATATCTAGCAGCTCTCCTTAGCTTTAGGTGGCAGGGCCTTGGATCGCCCGTGGACAGCACCCTTTCCCCGATCCCCGAATCCGAAGAACCCACTTATACAATGGCTGGTATCAGGCGCAGAAGGCGCACAAGCAGGGCTTTGAACAAGCGCAACTCAGCATCGAAGAACCCACAAGGTTGATTCTTTGGGTCTGCGCACAAGCGTCTGTCGAATCGCTGCCCCTGCACCTCAAGACTTGAAACTTTCGGCTTTCGTAAACTTCTAGACATCTTTGCCGCGTTTGCTCACTCACCAGTGGCCTGACGGTAGTAGGTTGTCCGCCGCGGGCTCTGCAACAGGGGCTGCAAAAAGGCGGCTGCCTTAAGCCTGGGATGCACAGTTGCTATCAGGCATGCTAACTGCTCCAGTTATAACATCAATCAATTTGCGTGCGTCTTTGCAGCCCAGTTGCGTGAAGCGAAACGTTTGCATGGCACGGCGCCTGTGCTCTGTGAGTAAAACAATGGCACTGGACAGGCCTATGGGGGGCCTAGGTGAGCCTTTCGCCGAGGGGCAACACTTCCACCTCTCGATTTGTGAGCTGTCCATCAGCCCACAGGTCCTTGCCGTATCATTCAAGAGTCAGCTATCTGCATCTCAGGGTTTGGGATCGTTGTGTCGGGAGAACCCATGGCAGCAGGAGCAGATCGCCCCGTCACGGTCAGTAGACATGCAGTCCTTGGCCTCCGCATGTGAAATTCGACCATCAGCTGCAAATGCCTTGGCCTGCCAGCATGGGAGGACAGAGGGCGTGTGGCCATCAGCTGCGGGTCACGAACTTAATGCTTGGCTGCGGTACATGCAGAGCACAGGCCCTGCCCTCTCCTACAAGAAGCTGCCATGCAGGCAGCAAACCACCACACAGTGTTTCGCACGTCCTGCCCTTTCTTGAACTCCAGGCATATGATTGAGAAGTGGAAAGAGTGCTGCGTGATGCGGGTCATGTTCGAGTCAGGGAGGCCAAGACCGACGAAAGCGTGCGGCATGCTGTTGAGACTCGGATGGCTGGGGTGTCACCGGCACTCAATGGGCACACACAACACATGACCCTCATATCACTTGGCCGCTGTTTGCACAATGACCCTGTGACATGTCAAGGGAGCAGAGCGCTTCGCCGTCTGAGTCGCGCGGGGCATGTGCAGTGCTGCGACGGTTGCAGTTGTGTCTCTGGCTTCAGAGATTCGTCCAGGCGTCTTGGCGAAGACCGTTCCATGCCGATGTGCCCTTGCACCGCCCCTAAACCCTAAACTCAAAACCCTAACTCCGTTGAATCCTTAGACCCTTGGGACCCTTAGCCGCCTTAGCCTCCACCCAAAACCCTAAGCCCTCAAACCCGAAGCGCGGAGCAACGGTGCGGAGTCGTTTCTAGTGTACGGCCGGAATGTTGCAGGAGGCTGCACCGACAGTGTTCTGAAATATCAGAAACAGTGTATCTTGGCCTTCTTGAAGAGCGGCGCTTCTTCCAGGGTCTCCTTTCAAGATGCAACCCGGACAACATGAAACGTCGAAGGGGAATTGGAAGTCTGGCAGCCACAGAGAGCTTCGCTAGCTACCCTTATAGGCTGTCGTTCGACAACACAACGCGTACAGATGGGGCACAGAAGCGGAAGAGAAGCCAAATCTCCTCCGGCGCAGGCCGCTTGGCCATGGCTTACATCATGTGGGCCGTACAACTTGCTGCTTTGCTAAACGCTGAAAGTCTATGGCTCGACAATTCTTAAGTCTGCCTGGCACGCCACCAAACCGTTCGCGATTCAGCCACTCCACCCTATGCACATCCGCACATTCAAGAACGATTACACTCGAAACCGTTGCCCCCGGGTGTTGTTGCGTGCTGTGTTGTGTGCTTCCTACAAAATGTCAGTCTCACGATGGGCAAAAGCTTTGGTTGCGCTGGCAGTTTCGGTTTGGGCGGCGTCCATTGTAAGGCCTGTGCCCACACCCTGTGCCCACAGAGTTTCCTGCACCGGGCCTTACTGAGCGTCGGACTGAGCAAAGCGGCACAAAGCTCCAGGGTGATGGGCGCTTGCCCTTGCCCTTCTCGCCCTTCTCGCCCTTCTCGCCCTTCTCGCCCTTGTCCCAGAGAAGCTGTAAACGGCAACTGCAAGGTGCCCCCGGGCGAGCCCTTGACTTGACGTCAGCACCAGCTTATATCGACTGTGGGCTTCTGTGATCTTCTGTGGGCGTGTATGGGCTTGTGTGAGCTTCCAGTCCTTGGAGCCCTTGTCCTGGTCGCCCTTGCCTGCCCAGAATGCAGACCAACCTACCACCCTGAGACATTCCGTTGGCTTGGGAATGGTCCACAGCGAATGGAGCAACAAAGCCCACCACAGGACCACACACACTTTGCAGGTCTGGCGCGTACCCCAGGCTCCGCCCGCCGCTCCTCCGCGACCTTTGGACCTTGGGAGAGGCTCACTTCCCCATGGTCCGGATGGTTGTGTGATCCAGGCACGGCTAAGATTCGCACCAAGCACCCTGGCTCGGCTGGTTTTTTCCGGACCTTCATCAGGTTCAAAAATTGCATCATGAGGCTTTGCGCCAAGTATTCTCCGGATGTGCTGAACGGCGCACAATGGTCCAACAACCACTACATCGAATTCAAGGCACTTCAGCTCTATGCAGACCGATTTTTTCAAGTGAGGCCATTCACAGCCTGTGGGGTGGAGGGTGGAGTGTGTCTGAGCTGCAAGTGGATGGCTCTTGAAACGGGGGGTCCCTCTGGCTACCGCATGGCGCAAGGTACACCAAAGAAATGGAGATGCAGAGAACTAAAAGCCCACATGCAATCAATGTTGAACTTGCAGTCAATATGAAGGTCGGCTAATTCCATGGTAGAGCTTTGAAACACAATAGGCTCAACAATTTGGATGCTTCTCCTTGGATTCATGTGGATGTCTCAAGGCATCTCAAGGTCCAGCCACTGACTACGCATGTCTACGCATCTGTCCCTTTGAGGCGTCCACCCGCCGCCCGGGTAGCCGCCGGCCTGGAAAGGCGACAGACCGGCAAAGGCGTCAGTCTTGTGAATGGCTCTTTACAGTGCGAGTAGCGCCGCACAGAGCAGGGCAGAGAAAAGATTCTGAACTTGTAAGGTCAACAGTACGCACGACCCAGTCGAAGCCCAGTCGACTGAAGAAACATCAAGAAACACTGTCACGCGCTGCGCCTTGCCCCACGCAGTGCCTTTTGCCATCAAGGGCTACAGCTCTAAGCGAGGCACATGCACTGCCATCAGATGCCATGAAAGATACTTCGTCAATGCATGGGTCCATCTGAACCGCAGAGCCGTCTCTCAGCACAAGCCACGTGCAGGTGTTCCTTGTCTTTCTACGTTATGATTCACGTTTAAAACGTGGATTATGTGTTCTTGCTAAACGCGAATGCGAGTCCAGCTTGAGCAGGAAGCGTATGGAAGCGTCAACCAGGAACCATTCGTAGCCACAATGTTCAAGCCGTTGCCAGTTGGGAAGTGTGTGACCCATCTCCCTAAAAGCAGAGGCATGTGTAGTGGTGTCTTCCTGCGACTGTACTGAGTTTACTGCTAGTGATCCGCCTATACCCATCACCGCATATCGCGTAAGAGTGCAAGTGCATGCGTTTACGACGCATGCCCTGACTTGGGCAGTCTCTTCTGTAGCGCTCGTACTTTATTTTTTTTGTTTGTTGTTTATGCCTTGGCAGGCTGCATGATTGGCATCACAATTCCAAGTATCTGAGTGTCTGAGTGTAGCGCAGCTGGTCATACTGCTCCTGCATCTCATTGGCCCTCTGAACTGCCACGGCACCCTGCGCACTCTCCACACTCAACCTCAGATCATGACGCATCTATGGTCTCGATGTTCACCGTCTCACAGTCTGATATGTGTCTGAGGACTTGAGGCACTGACTTCTCCATGTAAATGTGCATGTCGTCAATGTTCTGACACAGCACCAGCTGACAGCATATTTGTACGAGCAAAAGGGATCCTGTGAAATCAGGCTTTCCGAATGCAAAAGTTTGCTTTGCATCTATTGGCTGCTCTTATCTGCACTTTTGCTTCCTCAATGAGGGGGCCTTCTGCAGCTTTTCACACCGGTCTTCAAAATCGACCGCTCTTTGCGTTATGGCGACGGCCTGGCAGAGCTCAGAAACTCCAGAAAACATGCCGCTTTTCAATTGTCACGCTTTAGTGCTAAGGTTTCCCTGTGCCATGCACCCTTCCCGTCAAGAGAACACGGTCGGGATAGAGAATGGCAAAACCGACGCTACTGTGCCGAACCGCCGCAAGCACAAAAAGTTGCTCAACATCTCCCATTGAAAGCTCCTGTAGAACAACATTCGGAGCCCACCCGAAAGAAATCCTCAGAGGCATCCTTTCAGAACTGACTCTCACAGAGGAGTTGATGTTCGCCGCAACTCATAGCATCGCTACAGAACATCTTGCCTGCTTTCGTTCCGCAGCCAACCTTACTGCTTGCTGCAGCAGAGCGATGCCAACTAGTGAAGCCGAACCAGAACTGATGTAGAGGCCAGTACACTTCAGGCAGGCTTTGCAAGCGGAGATCCTCACGTCAACAAACTAGGCATGTGTTTGGGAAAGCACGTGGCATCCCGAAGCAAACTTCTGACACAGCAGACTGGTTCCTTCTGAAGCACCCAGCAGCGTTTCTCCAGGTCCTCGACGAAGTCACCTCTACCGCAAGCCGAAGCGAAACCATGTGCTGCGTACCCCGGCAGTTTCTGCGGCCCAGTTGCTGAACTGCTGCCGATGACTGCGCTCCTTCTTCAGCCTCTGGCCAAGGAATACAGACGTCAAATAAGATCCATGCAGTACATGTAAGCAGGCCGGCAGCATCCGACATCTACAATGTCAAGTCAGCTCGCTGACAACGCACAGGATGTCAGGGCTCCAGTCATACTCTCCATTTCTTTCACATCGAGGACTGCCTGACAGCGACAGTGAGCTGGCAGATTTGCAGAGCAGCTTCGAAAGCACTGGCCAACACAGCCTGCTTCCAGCCTCTTTCATATGCTTTTGCCTAGCCGCAGTGACTTCTTCTGCACCCACTGACGGCAACTACAGGCCACGCTCAGCTGTACGCACTGTCTCGTTGGTGGGCGAAAAACTGCCTTGCCTGTCTTTGAGCCTCGTGGAGTTCAGCAAGGAACTTGGCCTCCTGTACGTCCCAGGCACCAAGCTCTCGTTCGGCTCGTTCGGTTCTGTTTTTTTTGTACAGCAGCACAGGCTCTGTCTGGGTAGTCTCGCGGCCTTTGCGCGAGTCGAGCCAAGCAGCTACTTGAGTGAGAATCTCACTCAGCTAAGAACGATGGGGAGTCGGAGGGCTGAAAGCATCCGTTCACACGGTGCTGCAAGAGTACTTCATGCCGCACTGACTGGGCCTGAAGACTCTAGAAAACAATCGAATGCCTCAAGTGGCTGCACGGTGACGTTGGCAACATGGGCACCTCTTGCTGCCCTCAGTTCGAGAAACCGGCTGGAGCCTCGCAACGTGAAGCCACACACATGCGAAGGGTTCTCAAAGCTGCTGGCCTTTGGATCGATGGCCCGGGTAGACAAGCCCAGGACCTTGCGCCGTGCAACACAGTAGCCCAGCATGGAAGACAATGGATGCTTCTTACAGTAGCTTGACCTACCTGTATCCTGACCTGGCTTGGGCTAAGAACATGACAGGATTTTCGTGCCACCGCGCCTTGCCAGAGCTCGTCTTGTAGGGACCATAGGAAGACAGCACCCTGACCTGTGTCATTTCGCGGTCACACGAAAACCAATTCAACACGCTTTGGCCTTGTCCAGCTGCTTCTCCTGCACCCGCAAAGCTACTAATGCCAGGTTTGTTTGGTCATTGTTGGTCCACAACTCCCACATGATCAAATGGAGAAAACATTCACCTGCCCAATACAACTGCCGCCTCCGTGAAGCAAGTAGGCGTGTCGTACTGGTGTTGGTCATATGCGGCAGCGGATGCGCGACCGAAGGGACGCGGCGACATTCAGAAAACAAAGATGAGGAAACAGGTGCGCAGTTTCAAACGCCGCAAATCGGAAGACCACAGAACTCCGAGGGCAAACTCAAAGACGTACGAGTGAAAGTTCAACAGCAACTGAACAATTCAGACTCTGAGAGACTTTTCCTTGTTCTGCTGGAAAAACGGTACATCCTGGCCTACGCGTCGGGCCGAAGATTCCCACTTTAAACAAAGGGCCTCCACGCCTCTCCCGATCCCACTCCCCAAAATCACCGGCTCCGAACGGGTAGACCCGGAGCAGGGGGGATTGCCCTCCACCGCAAGCAGCCTATCTCTGAGAGCGGCCTTAAGCCGACTTGGCACCTGATCGCTTAAGGGGAGGGGCGACGCCCGCAAGCCTCCACGCGGGTGGTAGAACGCGACTGCTCGCACGTGTCCTTGAATCCACAATGGCCACGAGGCAAGGCGGTCCCTAATTCTTATGCGAGTGGAACACACGACAATACAGAACTTATCCCGAACTCAACTTACCCTTACACCCTGACACCCTGTGGCGATTGATTTGGTGACTTCAAGTTCACGAGAGGTTGCTTTCTGAATTGCCCACGTTGTCTGTACCAGCAGTCTGACCAGCTGGCTGTGCGTGCCTTGTTAAATCTTGGTGTAGTCCGTTTGCTCACGTTCTCTGAACTACCTTGTGTTCTGAGCCTTGCTTTCTGAAGTCGATTTCTTTATCGAAAACTGCTTCTTCAGGGGGCGATAGGGAGCGCTGATTGTCGATAGGCACGCCACATAACGTTCCCACATCCTGAATAAACGAAACATCATCGCCCAATATGGCCCAACATGGCTTTGCATCGACGCGGCTTCTCACATCCACACTGACCGGCCTTCTTGGCCCATCTCTCTGCAGCTTTCATTCGTCGCATCTCCTTCATTCGGTGCATCTTGTTTCTCACCACCTTGCGCACACAAAGTCGGAATCGGCGCCACAAACAGGTTGCGTTGACTGCAGCTTCTCTTGCCACGGCACTTTGCGCCAGTAGGAGCCGTCCTGTCCGAAACCACGCAACATCCCCTGCCGATGCACATGCTCGAACCGTACTGAGTTTGCCACTGTAACGTGTCCTCGTTTGGCTGTACCACGGTGACATCACTGGTATGATCATCATACAACACCTCAGGAGGGAAGGTGGGCCACAAGTGTGACCTTTCGGCTGCACATGTACTGAAACACATAACATGGCAACCTAGTATACATAATATTCGCTTGCCAGCACCGTCGAGCACATTGACCAACATGTTGGATAACATGACTTCACTACATGAACTGCAGGAAAATGAGGTGACTCGGGCATACCTGCCTGGAGGAGCCCTGTTTGTTGCAGAATGATTTGATCACCGAAGCCGCAATGCTAACTTCATGTAAGATTGCCGGGCAACCAGCGCTGATCCGCCCCACCTGGCCATAGGCATGCGGAAGCATTGCTGAAACAGTAGCTCTGCTACGGCAGCAGCTCCCGCAGCAATTCAAAAAACCACAACTTTCACTGCATGGGCTTTGGCCTTCTACTGCCTGTTCTGCAAGGCTTTTTGTCCCGCAGCTCTGACGACCGGCATTTGCAGGTCAATTCGACCACAGGAAAGCGGCTTACCGGAGTCGGTAAAGAGCGGAAACACAGGAGCTCATGCTGTGGGCCTCCGGTAAAACATGATTCGCACATAGCACATAGCCTAGAAGACCTTGATCTGTCAGTGATGCAGAACTCTTGCTCGTATCTACCATGTGAGATTAGTCTTGATTTTGCACTCGACCAGGCGTGCTATTATTAGACGGGGTCATGTAGGGCCATGCACACCGGAACAAACAGACAAGCTCTGGCACACGCACACACACACACTCTTCAACTCGCCCTTGCTTCACAAAGTTGGGAGAAAGAGCTCGGAAATATTTAGGGTAGCAGGCAGGCCCTCACTCTGCGGAAGCCCTGCCGCGGCCGCGCTGGAGCACGCGGGCCAGCTTGGGAGGAGGCCTTGGCACATTTAACGGCACTGACTGCAACTGTATCAGATGCTCGCACTGAAAAGTAAGGGCATTGCACGGCTCTTCCATTGTGATGCTATTTGCAAAGCTCTGGTGTCATGGCTTCATGGTAGAAAATGCCATGCTGACATGCAGGTGAGCAGCTCATGCGACTCTTTGCTGCTGCTCCGCGGCCGCTTGGAATCCACTTTCGATCCTTGCAATCGCCGGAGCAATCGCAAGATCTCCAGTGCTTCGGCCTGAAGACCAAGCCGAAGTGGGAGGTTTGGGGGGGGGGGGGGGGGAAATAGCAATGGGGAACGTTTGTGACTTAGGGCCTTCGGGCCTTAGGGCTGGGAGAGGGTGTATGTTTAGAGCTCAGGCAGGCTTTTGACAAGAAATACGACGGCTCCTCTGGTTCTGAGTTACAGGAACAAACCCCTCTTCTTCTGCAGCTCGTCTCATTTAAACAACATGAAAGGGCCTCTCTGCGTTCCATAGCATTCTCACTACTCTGAATCAGAATCATGTTGACACCGCTCCTCAACAACCGCCCAAACCAGAAAGGGGCATGCAGTATCTCCTCTTGCTGGAAACCCGATTTCGGTGCAATCAAGAGGGCAGGTATATCCCCAAGTTGGTAGGCACAGTGAACACAGCAACTCATGAACGCCGATGACACAAATCGATTAGATTTTTTGTTGGTTAATCGGTTGAACGTTAATCCAAGGCGAAATATACTCATGTGGAGATATGATGTGGACTCGCAACTGCAATTCGATTCCATGCATCCTCCACCCTCCTGCCCTCTCCCATGGGTACGATGTAAGAGCAGCACTTCTTTCCAATGTGTTCTGGACTCAAGCGCTGGTTGCCGTGACATGAACTTCCCTTACGCAGCCGAGGGTGGTGGGGAGAGTCTGGTCAAAGCGAAGCTGCTGCAGTGGCACGTCTAACTGCAGCGTCTCCATGCAATGACTCAGGATTCGTTCTGGCAAATCATTCTCAGGGTCATATGGATAGTAGCAATAGCGGCCGGCGAGACCAACCTGAATTTGCAGAAGGCATACCGACCGGAAGAATCTGCTCTCCAAGAACGCCGGGTCTTTAAGCAGCTCTTCAACCAGTCCTCCCGAGGCCCACACACCCAAGGAAGCACACCAGAGACAACGCCAAGTCCCAGCAGCTTCCACAGCAGCCAGGATGATGTCCTTGTCCGCCCTCAGCTCCTCTGCAGCATGCTTGAGAGCATACCCATTCTTCGCCACAGCGGCCAGGACAAAATCCCTGTCCGCCTTCAGCTCACCTGCGGAGTCGAGAGCCCACTCAGTAATAGCCACAGCGGCCAGGATGGTGTCCTTGTCTGCCTTCAGCTCCTCTGCGGCGAAGTCGAAAGCACCTCCACTCTTGGCCACGGCAGCCAGGACGAAGTCCCTGTCCGCCTTCAGGTCTGGGGCAGCATACTCGAAAGCTTCCGCACTCTTGGCCACAGCGGCAAGGACGAAGTCCTTGTCCATCTTCAGCTCCTCGGAGGCATACTGGAAAGCGCAGCCATCGTCAGCCACAGCAGCCAGGACAATCTCCCTGTCTGCCTTTAGGTCTGGGGCGGCATGTTCGAGGGCACACCCATTGTCAGCCACGGCAGCCAGGACGGTTTCCCTGTCGGCCTTTGACAGCTCTTCGGAGGCATCCATCCGACAGACAGAGAGCGATAAAGGGCCCTAACAGCTGCAAGAACAGCTTCCCTGCAGCCCGGTGGGAGGGCTTCAGCGGCTGCAGGGGCACGCGCATGCACGTTCTACAGCGTAAGGATTCGTATGCAGTACAGCAATGCACAGGCACTTTTCAGAAGATACCAGTACCAATTGGCTAATTGATGTTAATTAATTACTCCATTCCACAGGTCGCCGTCACCACATGCACCGCCTGTTACCAGTACACCACCCACACCAAGCACCTGTCACATGTCTACTGATTTCCAAAGGCTTCACCCACACAAGGTAAGTAGTCATGAGGCATGAGGTATCGGGGGACAGCCGCGCTGCCCGCCCCTCTCACAGTCTGTGGGGGAGGGCAGGCCCAACAGACAGACCGACAGATAGATGAATCTGAACGGACCTGACGTGTGATCCCCAATCACACTCGCCGAAGGTTGAAACGGAGAGTTCCAGTGACGCATGCTCTTCAAGCCTGCATGTCATAGCTGACGCCCGCGACATGAGCGCCTCAGCACGAGCCGTCTCTTAGTCTTATCCAGTATGACTTCACAGAAGTATGATACTGAACATGTGCAAACTTGCCCTGGGCGGCGACGGAACTGTGCAGACCACTTCGCGCGGCGCTGCGCAAACCGCTGGGCATTCGCAGCACGCTGCTGCGCTTGCTCCTGCCTGGCAATTAGCGCTGGAATCGGGAAGCTTAACCATGCGTAGCCCGAGGCAAAATGAGCAGACACAGCCGCGGAGGCCTCAATGCATCCCACTCCTCCTTGCAGCGCTTCTCCTGCCCCGCAAACGAATGCACTACATCAACCGACCGCCCATCGTCATCGCTCCACGCTTTTGTCTGCCTGAAAAGTCTACGGGTTGCTGAAACGGTTTGTGCTCATCTTATGTGTGCTGTGCTCCTCCTCCTCGCGCTGCTTCTTGCGTCGACGGCCTGCCTGACATACTGAAAGGCACGCAAGCACCGGCAAAACACAGGAGTCCCAGAACTCATCTCCATTCGCCTCCCTTGCGCGCTCAGCGTTAGTCTGCGCTGCTGCCCGTGCCGCTGCCGCTTGGCGCTGTTCACGCTCAGCAGCCGCATGACGCCGTGCCTAGTCATCATCAGCAAATCTCGTTGCAGCAAAAACCGTGCAGGATTCTTTCTGCCCAATCTGCGCATAAAATACGAACATCTAGGTAGACAATGCTGCTCTCTCAATGGCCCTTAGAGGTACTTTGATTCAACGTGGTACAGCCTTCGAGACGGCCACTCTGCTGTTGTGTGTCTATGTCAGTTTAGATTTTTCTGGACGGAGATTGGCGATTGGTCTCTCGACTTATTGTAGGGTGGGAACATACTTGGGGCCTCGCTTTGCTCGGGCCCGTACTGAGGCTTTGCCGCCTCCTTTGGCTCACGCGTGGTGTGGCACATACAGCCACAGATGTCACTTCCCAAGAATCGTTGCACCATGTTCCCACGACAGCTACCTTCAGCTTCTCAAAGCCTCCAAAACCACGACGGCTGGACGTCGGCTTAAGATAGCTTAAGCATCGTGAACTGCAACACAACCCAGCCGCCTCTGCCCACATTCGCTGGAAGCGATCTGACTCGGCAGCATCACGCTCCGGCGCCTGATAGGCAGCTTTGCGCCGAAGCAAGGCTTGACCAGGTGGTCTGGAAAAGATAAATAAGAGAAGAGATCTGAAGATATGTGAAGATATGTGAAGGTATGTGAAGATATGTGAAGATATGTGAAGATATGTGAAGATATGTAAAGATATGCGACGTGCTATTCGCCTTCGGCTTAAGTGGATGTGCCCGGCGCCCCTCTTGGGCCTTTGGCGCAGCTGCGCACGGGGAGTCGGCGGGCAGTGACGCACTCAGCAGCTCATAAGCCTGTGAATGTCACAGGTTGAAGACAACTCACTTCGAGGGTTTCCACTGACATGATTGAGCACTCATCCACAGGCTTCTCACACAGACGCTGCAACTAACTACAAGTGCGATAGCCTCTCAAAAGAACCGACCTCACCACAACTCAGAAGTGAGATCCAGTTGTCTCACAACACCTTGCGGATCCTTCCAGATCCTTACAATATTAGCCATGTTGCCGCTCGCAGCTTCTGGAACGCCTCCTTGTTACCTTGCATAACGAACTTTAAACGCTGGATCAAGAACCTTCTGGAGAAACTGGCAGCAGCAAGTCTTTGACAAAGCGTCTGGCATTGCTTTCGCCTGGCCAGATTTGCATCTTCAAGATTCTTGCAGCCGGGTCACCACCCTTGTCTGGATGGTGCTGTCGCGCCAGTTTTCGAAATGCACGGGTCACGTCCTGTCACTACTTGGACAGAGCTTGGCGATCACGACCGTTGCAAATCCCAGCCTCTGCCACAAAGCTCACAACTGCCCATGTATGGCTGTCCTGCTCGCCGCATCCCACCTTCAAGCCTCAGATGTGGGCATGCGCTGGGCAACACATGGTAAACTCTCGCCGGCATGTCACCATGGGCCAGTTGCAAGAGCAAGCACTGCACAAATTGTACTAGCACCTGAAGCCTGGAGACCCAGTGTCTTGAGGGCATCCGATGTCGATGCAGCCATGACGTTGGTATTAGGCCACCAGCATCTCGGATCTCTGTACAGGAGCTGGGAGGCTCACAATTTGAGACAGATGTATCCTGTGTGTGTGTGTGTGTTCTCAAGTCTGCTGAGAAGGCACTGCAAAAGAATGTTGCACTGGAGTCGGTGCATCGCTGCTTGAGTGACTTCACAGAAGGTCAAGATGTGTTATGACTGGACCATGAACGAAACATTCCAACGTACTTGAGCCTGCACCACAACACGTGCATAGGCAGCTGTCTTGAACGTGGATGATGCAATAGCCAGGCTTCCAACGAAGTTATATCTCAAACCAAACGCGCCCAAACCGCTCGTCATCAATGACAGCGACGCGCCGATCCTGCAGCTCATCTCGACCTCAGCCGCTCCTACCTCAGCGCGCTCCTACAAACTGATTGCTGGAATGCCCGCTCATTCGCTGAATTTCGCCCCATTAGGCCCCAGCTGACGACCATGCCAAGAGGTGCAAGAGTCGAGGCCTTCAGCACGGAATCTAGCAGTCTAGCACAACATCTACGAAAACATGGAAAAGGCGCGGAGCTGCTTCGAAGATTGCTGCATGATGGTGAGCCATGGTGGGTGGCCTCTTGCTGTCAAGTTAAGGTGCCAGCATCGTACTCGATGATCATGCCACTGTGCACACCGAGCACAGCTCCATCCTTCATGTGCCACCAGCAGACCTTCGATTATTTCGATTCAAGAAGGCTCGGGTCGTTCGATGCTTCAGTTCTCCGCTTCTGACTGACAGGAACTGCGAGACCGCACTATACACCTGCCTCCATCTCTGCCCCGACAGGATTCAACAGGCCAGTTGCGTCTTTTATCAGGCAGCCATCGTTCTCCTCGCGCTGGCTTGTTTGTGAGGGCAATCGTGGCTGGCCTTTCATGCTTTGTTGTGAAGGTGCAGGGTGTGGGGAAGAGGGGAAGGGACGAAGGTGGGAAGGCGGGAATGGGGAAGAGTGGGAGGGGAAGGGAGTGAAGCAACGGGGTGAAGAAGGGCGAAGATGGAAAAGATGGGGAAGAAGAGGGGGGAGGAAGTACAGAAAGAGAAGGGAAGAGAACGGAAGGGAGTAAAGGAAGGCTGGGAAAGGCAGGAGGGGAAGGGAGGGAAGGGATTGAAGTGAAGGAAGGGAAGGAAGTGAAGGAAGGGAAGGGCAGGGAAGGAGAAAGGGACGGAAGGTAAGGAAAGGGAAGGAAAGGAAAGGGAAGGGCAGGGGAAGGGCAGGAGGGGAAGGAGCAAGGGAAGGGAAGGAAGGGAAGGAAGGGCAGGAAGGGCAGGAAGAGAAGGAAGGGAAGGAAGGGAAGGAAGGGAAGGAAGGGAAGGAAGGGAAGGAAGGTAAGGAAGGTAAGGCAGGTAAGGCAGGTAAGGCAGGTAAGGCAGGTAAGGCAGGCAAGGCAGGTAAGGCAGGTAAGGAAGGTAAGGAAGGTAAGGAAGGTAAGGAAGGTAAGGAAAGGAAGGTAAGGAACAGAAGGTAAAGAACAGAAGGTAAGGAACAGAAGGTAAGGAACAGAAGGTAAGGAACAAAAGGTAAGGAACAGAAGGGACGGAACAGAAGGGAAGGAACAGAAGGGAAGGAACAAAAGGGAAGGAACAAACGGGAAGGAACAAATGGGAAGGAACAAAAGAGAAGGAACACAAGGGAAGGACAACTTCCGCACAACAACTGATCCTACGTCAGTGCTTCTATGCCTTGCGTAGCTGCAATGCTGCAAGCTGCAATCCATGGGCTGGCCTGCGGCACGTACGCAGAAAACCACAAGTCATGGTCGTAGTCCTGCAGAGGAGCGCTGTGAAGACAGTTTGCCATGTGACGTCGGTGCGTACCCCTTCCTCATGCTTGTGCGCAAACGTCAGCGTCGAGCACTCTGAAGCTTCCTGACTGATGGTGAGCTCCTGAAACTGGTGCTTGGGGGAGTTCGGGAACACCAGGGTCACAGAATGCCCTCGAATGAATGCCGGCATTGAAACACTCAGATACATGGATGCTTGGCACAGGTTTAGCATCTGTTTAGCTTCCCATGTCCCCTCCTCCGGCAGGTCACAGCTGTCGGAGTACAACACTGTGGCATCCAAGCGAAGCTGGCACCGGGGGAAGCTTAGGGTGTGCACCGGTTTGTGTATCCATTGGCAGCATGACTTAAGGCTTTGCTTGGGACTTTACAAGCTTTCAGGGCCTCGCCGCCTCTCTTGTGATCCACAGTGTAGATCTCGAACCCCTGTCAAGCGCAAACTCTTCACATATGGCAGCCACGCAACACGGGATTTGCAGCTCGAACCTGGGCATTGCCCTTCACAAGTCGCGACTGCCGCCTGGACCATGGACCGTACATTGGCCCGCCACGGCGTGCTTTATATTTTCTTGGGCTGCGGGCCTTCCATCCCTCGAGGACTGGCTTCGCATCACCCCTGTCTGCGCAAAGACGCAGTGGCCACGACGGTTGCCACCTCCAGGTTCGAGGAGCATCGGTTATAGCCATCAGCCAGGACTACAGAGACTACAAAGGGAACAATGCTTGGGCGGCACAAGGCAGGACAGAGACACATCCGGCCATGTGCGAATGCCTCCGCACCTGGGAATGTGATGGAGTCTTCGTAGTCGTGAGACAGGTGGAAGTGCCCTGAAAACCAGCCTGGCGATAGCGGAGCCCAAGCTGCGAAGACTTCTGCTCAGATTTGTTCAGGATCTCGAACTTCCAACGCAGAGACTGAGTCCAGAACCCTTGATACAGGCGTTCTCGCGGACGATCTGAATGAACTTCTTGGAGCCTCACCGCGGTTCCCTGACCCCCTTTTTTGATCTTTTTTGAAGGTTCACGGTAGCGTTCCTGACTCCATCTCAATACAGCGAGGACCGGGTGGACAACATGGGGTCCGCAATGAAGACTCAGCATGATACTAGCTCCGTCAGAGTGGTTCAGCCAGCAGCAGCCATTCAGCACATGAAGCTCCTGCCATCGCTTGAACTGCGCTGGTGATGTCTGAAGTCCACGATGCCAGTCCTGTAGCACTCGCAGCGCAGAGCCAATGATCGGCGCGTGCGAGAATACGAAGACCTGCAGGTTCCAAAACGACTGGCGCAATGCCTCTATAGCAGACGCAGGCCGCGAAACAGAATCAGTCTTTCTCTGGCCAAAAAATCTGTAATTGTCCGTCAAGCGTGCCTGCCAGCCCTCAGAAGCAGGATGGGCACGGATGGTTTCTTCCTTGGCACCCGAAAGTTTAGAACATCTGAAGAGCTTTACAAGCCACGTGCTGTAGAACGGCTAACATGTCTAGAACACCCTACCAAGTCACAAGCCCGGGGGCCTCTGTGAAGAAATTTTGCTGATATGCTGAGCACTGCTGCACAATGCAAGAAACGCGAGGCTCTGGCAAACCACTCCAGCTGCTCCTCGTCTACGGACACCTCCACACAGGAAGCGAATAGTGGCACAAGCAAGGCTGATATATGCTGATATACATGCCGTCCCTCACAACGGGAAACTCGAGATAAATCAAGGGTTCCCTTGTTTCCCCTTATCAGAACCATGCTTCCACTACCCCATTTTGCAAGTCCTGTCCAATCTGCTGCAAGGCCTCGTGGGACGAGAAGCCTGGGTTTGCAGTAGCCGGCGCGTCACAGATATGAAAGGAACCGAGGGACTAACAGAGATGCAGGAGATGCAGATACGCCCCGGCATTTCAAAAGCGTGACTACGACCTGCATCAAAATCTACGCTGTACTCAGGTGCGTGCTCGTCATGGTGCACACTCATGCTCATCTCGCTACTACAAGTACCCGCATCTGCCCTTTCCAGCATGCATAATGCAGACTTCTCGAGGCTATGCAAGCTCCCATGTGTTGAGTCTTGATGGGCTGCAGCCGTGTGTTGAGAGCTGGACTTGAGATCTAGGTGGCCTAATTACTCTTCTTTCATTCACCGTCTCCTCCTCATTTCCTTTTCTGTTCTTCCACACTTCCCGGTACCCCCTCCGTTCATTTTATGCTTACTCTCCTCGTCTCTGCTCATGGCCCAGTAGCGCGCGCTGCGGAACGAAGTAGAGCCAAGTCCGACGAGCAACGTCCGCTCGGCGATCTCGTGGCCTGGTAAGAACGGCTGTTCCCAGCCCCAATTTCCAGCTCGCGAACTTTTGGTCTATGGATGTGTTTTTTAAGGTGGCCACAGAACTGCGGCGTCTCCTGACTGGCGCTCACTGCACCCGAAGTTTTCCCACGAGCAGTTCATGCGTGGATGGACATCAGCTGCACTCCTTGCCCAGGATGTCGAGGAAGGCTGCGAGGTTCTCCCTATCTGTGGCGAACTCATCGATGCCCTGCAACAAGGCTGCTGAGCAAGACAACTAAGCTTTCACAACTCCATTCTCAACTCTTCGACACCTCAAGGTCATGGTTCCCGCCCACCACATCGTAGCTCGCATCTAAACCTGCGAGGTGACGCAGGAAGTTAGTGACAACACTTCTCCTTGCGACGTACTGCTGTTTCGCTGAGGCCACAACCGTCCAAATACTCACGCCCAAGCTGGAAGCATGCCGTAGTCCCCGAGAAAAGCTGTTTGGTGTCCTCATGTAGCACATGCAACCAGAGGAGCTCCATGTTTGGCATACTGAAAGTTGAGAGTGTCGCTCGTTACGTTTCGTTCTAGCCAGCCAGCCAGGGCACGTTGCACATCGTGGACTCTCCAAGGTCACCCAAAGAGACAACGAAAACGTTCGGCTGTCCCTCCAAGGCCTGCTTCATGTGCCTCCAAAGCTCGGCAAAGGCCAATGGCAGAAAGTTGGGCAGAAGCTTGCTGACACTCTTAAAATCTCTAAAAAAAAGAGATTCTAAGGCCCAGGCTGACGCCCGAGCATGGAGTCCTCCAAGTCGCCAGGGTCCAGGTGAAGGTCGCCCAGGACGCCAATGGTGTAGCAACTCGGATCCTCTGAAATGGTGAACTGTTGAACTTGGACCAACGGGCAGGACTCAAGAGAAACCCTCCATGCTGAAACCCAAGTCGTCACCCCGAACCATGCGCAGCCGTGACTCATCGTCAAGGAACTCCAATCTGGGCGGCTTCACTTCCACTTCCCCGGCTTTGCATCGAAGACCCTTCGCAGTTCAGGATGCGTCTGTGGTATGCCGGATGCGTGGACTTCGGTCCGCCCACCTTGTGCCAGCGGCGGCAAAGCCGCCTTGCCTTTTGCCACACGAGCGTGAGCACAAGAGGAGAACGGTAGGATCCCTTCCGAGGTCTGGCAGTCTGTGTGTGTGTGTGTGTGTGTGTGTGTGTGTGTGTGTGTGTGTGTGTGTGTGTGTGTGTGTGTGTGTGTGTGTGTGTGTGTGTGTGTGTGTGTGTGTGTGTGTGTGTGTGTGTGTGTGTGTGTGTGTGTGTGTGTGTGTGTGTGTGTGTGTGTGTGTGTGTGTGTGTGTGTGTGTGTGTGTGTGTGTGTGTGTGTGTGTGTGTGTGTGTGTGTGTGTGTGTGTGTGTGTGTGTGTGTGTGTGTGTGTGTGTGTGTGTGTGTGTGTGGTGTGTGTGTGTGTGTGTGTGTGTGTGTGTGTGTGTGTGTGTGTGTGTGTGTGTGTGTGTGTTGTGTGTGTGTGTGTGTGTGTGTGGTGTGTGTGTGTGGTGTGTGTGTGTGTGTGTGTGGTGTGTGTGTTGGTGTGTGTGTGTGTGTGTGTGTGTGTGTGTGTGTGTGTGTGTGTGTGTGTGTGTGTGTGTGTGGTGTGTGTGTTGTGTGTGTGTGTGGTGTGTTGTGTGTGTGTGTGTGTGTGTGTGTGTGTGTGTGTGTGTGTGTGTGTGTGTGTGTGTGTGTGTGTGTGTGTGTGTGTGTGTGTGTGTGTGTGTGTGTGTGTGTGTGTGTGTGTGTGTGTGTGTGTGGTGTGTGTGTGTGTGTGTGTGTGTGTGTGTGTGTGTGTGTGTGTGTGTGTGTGTGTGTGTGTGTGTGTGTGTGTGTGTGTGTGTGTGTGTGTGTGTGTGTGTGTGTGTGTGTTGTGTGTGTGTGTGTGTGTGTGTGTGTGTGTGTGTGTGTGTGTGTGTGTGTGTGTGTGTGTGTGTGTGTGTGCTGTGTGTGTGTGTGTGTGTGTGTTGTGTGTGTGTGTGTGTGTGTGTGTGTGTGTGTGTGTGTGTGTGTGTGTGTGTGTTGTGTGTGTGTGTGTGTGTGTGTGTGTGTGTGTGTGTGTGTGTGTGTGTGTGTGTGTGTGTGTGTGTGTGTGTGTGTGTGTGTGTGTGTGTGTGTGTGTGTGTGTGTGTGTGTGTGTGTGTGTGTGTGTGTGTGTGTGTGTGTGTGTGTGTGTGTGTGCGTGCGTGCGCGTGCGCGTGCGTGTGCGTGTGCGTGCGTGTGCGTGCGAGAGCCCAGCACCCTGTCGCTCTATGTCGTGCTGGCAGAAACAAAGAATCACATAGCTGGCGCTGAAACACATGCATTCTGCTTGCCCAGATGCTGAGATGAGCAGGGAGGCGAACAGGGCTGGGGCCTGCCTGAGGCACATGCTTGACACCCACCCCGGCAGTGGGACACAACATGACCTTTCAAAACATCGAAAGACTGGTGCTGACTGCTACATGCCTGGCAACAGAGCAGCGCTGGAGCCGCGCCTCGTGACTGTACTACTTACTACAACTGACATCGGATTGCTGCTGTGCCGGTGGTCGGAAAGGCCCCTGCAAACGGCGCGTTTCTGCAGCGCAGTGGCTGATGCCCTCCGGTACAGGGCATGGTATGGTTCAGTCTTGCACAGGTCATCACCACTCGCGAGATGTCCAACGCCTGTATTCTCTGGCAGGCTGGGAGGTGGCGACTGCGGACGCAGCTCTTGAACGAGCATGGCCAGTAGGATCCAAGCTGCTAAGCTGTGCTGTGTTGATGTCTCTGGTTCTTTTCGCTTGCGAACACTGAAACCCTGCTCAACGCGTACTTAACCACGACATTGTAACTGAGCTTGCATGTTGCTGATTTGCAAGTATCTCGAAAACGAGGAGCCGTGATGCGGCAAGCAGCCACAAGCATGGCCCGCTTCGCTGGCTGGGCAACCACAGCAGCCACCGCTTGATCCGCCGAGGCGGCAGGCCTGGGAGGCCTGGGTAAAAGAACCCTCGGTTTCAGTTCGGGCGGATCCTTCACTGCTTGGACCCCTCTGGATGCGATGGATCCTCTAGGCTCCCCACCCAGGCGCCATCATTGGTCGACAAGATTTCTCTAGGAACACCGTGGGACGCCCGTCTGGACCCCATGGCCCCCTAGGGGCCCACCATGGACCTTCTATGGAAATTTCCTCACTGGATGTGCTGGCGAGCCTGCCATGGACCCCCCCCCACTAGGACCTTACCTGCTATATGGACCCCCAAAAAGCGGGCAACAATCCTGTTTGGACTTCCTGTGAGCTTTGTTTGGATGCCTTGGGGCAAGTGGCAAATACACCAAAGCTCCTTCGCCTGAAGATTCCGGTCTGCCGCGCTCGGCTTCCGCAGCTCCAAGCACTTGGCCTCTTCTGGGGACGCAACATGCCAATTCGTGCCGCTACGTAGTGAAAAGAGTGTCAATCCTTCTGCCACGAGTATCTCAAGCGTCTCAAGCGTTGTTCAACCTTGAACTTCCCTCTGAACTGAACTTCTCTCCTTCTCCTCCAGCAGCTCCTGCGACATATCCTCCAGACGCCGGGCGCACCTGAACCAATCCCACGTAGCACATCGTACTGCTGAACTAGCCAGAGCCCAGGAAAAGCAGGCTGGACAGGCATCAGGCCGTGACGCAACGGTCCTAAAGGGAACTAACGAAGCTTGGGATGTTGAAACCTACAGACCCTCGATAGATCGAACTCCCGCAGGTACCCCCGAACGACTTCTCCTCCGTCGCCGATAAGCATCCCCCCAACTCCTCAATCTCGGAACCCTTCATTTCAGGGTCTACATGTCCACTCGAATCTTTTGAGAGACCCTACTAGTAAGAATATCGAAGCTTGATAAAGACTGTCCAGCTCCCTTACAGATGTTAGAGAAGCCCCAGAGCCCAAAGAGCCCACTTCAGCACTGCAGGTATCTTATCGAGGTTTACCCGAAAAAAACTGCCTCTTCCTCTCCTCCAAAAGTTGGTCCTCCAGCTCACCCGCTCTCTTCTGCTCCTCGGTGCATTGCCATGCTCCACTTTGCACTCTACCAAAAGGCAAATAGGCATACGTCGGTTATGTACTGTTTAAGATGAGATTGGGATGTTGCAAGTTCAGGGGCAAGAGAACTGCTCGAAACTGTCCGCGCGGCTTGCAGTTCCACCAGCACTGACCCGTAAGACCGCATTCTCGCAAACTTCGTACAAGCACAAAAGGTCAAAGTGAATGCAAAATTGGGATCCAGGCAGGACGCAAGCAATACGTCGATACATCACCAACAGGAACACTACAGCATCTCTGCAAATACTACTGACTTCAGCATACCTCTGCGTTGTGTGCAAGCAAAGCAAAACACTGTCTTGTTCCAGGCTACAGCGGCAACTAAACAATTTATGCAACCACTGAGCATTAAGGTCAAAGTAGGTCAGAGTTGTGGCGTGAATAGGAGCGTGGGGGTGTCGACTCCTGTCTCGGGCATTCAGGGGCAGGGTATGGCGTCCTCCTTCAAACGCGACTCCAGCGTGAGAAGCCACCGCTGATCCTCGCACTAAGTGCTTGAGAAACCCCAAAGAACCAAACAAGCAGTGCTGCTAGCAAACGAGTTCAGCCTCACCAAGCCATGCGCGATGCTCCGCAAGCTCAATGGCCTGGCTGTGTTTCTGGGATCTGCTGATCATTGCTTCCACAATCTTCTAAGTCAGCTTCACATGCCATGGACCCAGGCCTGGCTAAAGCGAGGAGAGACTGCAGTCTGCGCACAACATCAGTACTTCATAGTTGTTTCACTCATTCCTGCCTCCCGATATCATGAACGCCCTTTGCTGACCGGATACGACCTCTACCGCTTCAACATCAACATCAGAGCAGCAGCCCCTTGTCAAAGGCGCTGCCTCATCCTTCATCAAGTTCTGCTGGGAACGATACTTCTGAATCTCCTGGCACTAGTTTCTGGAGCTGCTCACAGGAAGTCATCCATGCCCCACCCGCTTTATTTTAATGCCGTTCGGAGCCCCGGACTTCTGAAGACCTGGGTGGCTGACGCGCTTCAGATTTCAGATCATTTCAGTCAACACAGGAGGAGCTGTCAGTCCTCTAGTAGCTGGGCGACGCGGACGTCACGCTCCTCGATTCGGCCATCCCAAAGCCGTGACTGAACCCAGGATGTCCCCCTCTCTTGTGTGCTACAACGCGGGAGAACCCCACACACAACATCACACAAACATCACACCGCAGCACAACTCCTTCAGCGTCTGCTCCGCCAGGCGTGTCTTGGAGCGCTCCGCCTCTGCCTCGGCCTCAGAGGGCGCACTGCACTGGCTAAGGTATGCTAAACTGATTCCCAGCTGAAAACACAACAGAAAGCACAGAACAAAAGCACGTAACAAGCACATCAAGGCGCCTTCAAGCTGACGTAACCGGCTTGGATCTCGTCAAGCTGAGCCTACGGATACAAAGAAATCGATACCCTGGAGGTGTCCTTCCACAGCGCGCGGCCTGCAAGCGAGCACGCTGAGATTCGACCTGCTCATCACAATTGCCCACCACATCCCGTCCCAAGCATGCATTGCGGCCCTTCTTGATAAACCTGCAAACCTGCTTGCCATATGATTGTATGAGCCTTTGTCCACGTGTAAGCGCAGGTATCGAAGCGTCTCTAGCTGGCTGCTGCAGCTTCTGTGTACATACTGCGTCGACCGTGAGTGCAAACGTTGAGTCGGCAATGAGCGGAAACACTTCCCAGGGGCATTTCCTCACCTTCCCGTCAGCCGATATTACGATATTGCCCTAGGATCAGCCACAACATCCTGCAAATTGCCGATTCCGAAACTTCCGATTGTACAATCCTGGCACAGGCGTGGCCAAGGTCACGTTTGGGATCCACACAAACTTGATCTGAGGAGGTGAGAAGGTGAACGTGCGAAGACAGATTTCTAACATAGTCCGGCCTACGTTGCCTTGATTTTCGCTTATGGATCAAGGAACAACTCTAGACCTTGATTTCAGAACCCTTCTCTTGCAGGACTTTCGGGGACCCTTCATCATAAGGTCACCGACAATCTAACTCGAAGATGCAGACCTATAGAGGCACGTGATGCTACTGGTTAGGGTCTCACGGGACAAGCGAACCTGCTGCGCGCCACAGACTGTGAGTTGGGCACTGCAGCTATCTGCAGCTACACACAACTGCCTGCAGCTACTCAGTTGTTCCGGTCTCCGAAGAGCTGGAGTAGATACAAGAAGAGGTTGATGATGTCCAGGTACAGGGTGATGGCTGCCTGGGAGACAATCTGGCTGGGGCTTGGACACTGCAGGGTCAATGCCTGCCACTGAGATATGTTCACGGCGAGCGGCCATGCAGTAGTCATCCACGGTGAACGAGTATGTGCTGTGCTTGCCACCGATGATCCTCTGGGTGTCCACGACAAGATAGCCTTACCGGTCTGGCATTCTTGGAAATCACCGAGCTGACTAAAGCAAGTCGGGATGGCATGGTTACAGACTTCGTGCATCTTGGTGCATGTACGCGCCCTTCACACCCTGTGGCGTCACGAAGCTGCATAACCCCAATGCTGCTTTTTGGGATGGCCATTCGCACTTGCAGCAAAGCATCCGGAAAAGAGGAGAGCTCCAAAGGCTGCATAGACTAGATTCGCCGCCCTGCAGCAGCGTGGTCGGTGAGTGCTATGCCGACGCGTAGGACTCTCCAGCTGTTTATGTCCCACCCAGATTACATTGCCATCTTGCCGCGGCAAGCTGCCATATGCAAACGCGGATTGCTCAGTAAGACTGGGCGTATGTCGGTTCAGACTGAAAGCTACCCCTCTAAGCCGTGACTTCAGCCCAGCTTCTTGAAAAATCCAGTGCCGGCTCCTCCGAACATGGCCGCCATGGAAAGCATGAAGCTGAAACCTTGACTGGTCTGCGCCTACGATACGGCCTATCACTCCAATGATCGTCACACTCACGGCTAGACTCTGGACCTAGATGCCTTCCGTCTAGTCACAATATCAGTTTCTAACACTTTGCCGACTGGCCAAGGAGAACCAGCGAAGCGATGACAAAGTAGGGCAGCAGTCCTGCAAGCATCCAGGCAGGCAGCACGAGAACTCGCTAGAGGGTCTCCTATGGACATACGACAAACATTGCGTACGTTGGCAGGATCACGCTGATCCCGATCGCCGGACCCTCGACGGATCATATCTGTTTTCTCGTGTGGTTTCAGCAGAGGCATGCCGAGCATTGTGAAGATGGAAAGATGCTTCCTCGTCGGAAATGCATACTTACCACACTCGAAAGGCTTCAGGTGTCACTTCTGACCGAGTGTTTGGTTACTTTTGGCCGCAGCTTGGAATTGCGACTCAATCCGTAATGAAGCCACGCAGCACCGGACCCGTTCACCGAGAGTCAGGAATTACACCCCTGTCCCCAACGACAACATGTGCTGATAGAGGTGCAACCGATTTCCAGCTCTTGTGCAACTTGATAATTTGAAGTCCTGTGAAGTCGTACTTCGTCTGACAGGCGAAGAGCGTCAACCCGAAAACAACAAGGGCGGTCAATGCCAGGCACATGATCACTGATTGTGCCTTAGCACTCCGCTCTTGTTGTGTCTTCACAGCAGGATCGAGGAACGAGTGAAGGTTTTCTTTTGCATTTTTAGAGATGCTGTGCCTCCAAGAGTGAAGAGTTTTCGGGCTTATCGTAAGGGCTTTGGGAGCCTGGCCGTATAGTTTGCACAAACGAAGCCGACCATCACAGCTTCCTCAGCTTCTTCGCACGAGACATTCTGCCCTCACGTGGGTCATGGATACACATTGTTTAAGCAGCTACAAAGACGTCGCCCAGAAACAAGAAGAATCGATAAAAATGCATTGCAGCCGTGATTCAGCAACGGTAAATATGGCAAGCAAGAAGTAGTTCGTAGGGACTTCTCGCATGGTGTGCGGGCCTCAGGGCACTCAAGTGCTTTACTCAAACAACACCTGCGGGTACTGTGGAACCTCGGATCTTGGCCCTAGAACCCCTAGAACCCACAAGACATGAACGCAAGCCTACAGCTGCATGGAACTTGGACTGGCAGGTTTTTTTGGGAGGGGGCTGCAAAGCTCGAAGGTCCACTCGGCACATCTCAGTCTGGCGCAGCAAGAGAAGACACACATGACGGCGATGACAGCTGCCAAAGACAGGAACATCATGGTCCTTAGTGGCATTTCTGAGTTGCACTCAGTTGCGTGTCAACGTACTGGCCAACATTCAGAAGCCCCCGACTTGTCAGCAACTGAGCCCTGATCGAAACAACCGGGGGGTTTCGCATCTTCATTTCCAGCGCATAATTGGCAATCCTAAGCCGACCATGGTTGCTGAGAGATCAGTGACCGTGCACAAACATCATTCTGCTCCCATAGCTCAAGCTTCTGAGTCTTTCTGCTTGAGGCATGTTGGTGCCATATGGTATGGGATGGTATGGTACCGCATGCGGTGACCCGTGCGAATACAAAGCAGAGCTTCGGAGCTGCAATCAGCGTGGTCACAATCAGCTGCACGGTAAGAATGCCATAGACCTACGGCTGTGGTGTGTTGGTGGCGAGTTCCAGACCCAGATAGGAAAGCTCTGCAACAATTCCACACCACGCCTTCCGGACAAAGCCATTCTTTATGACAGTATCCTGCAATCCGATGAGCTCCTCGAGTCTCGCAAAAGCTGGACGTGCTCACATCACATATCTTGCTGAGGAGCCATTTCGCAACGGTCACTATTCACAAATTGCCCGCGCCCCCGCCCCCCAAGAGCGGCGCCACTGAAGCCTTGCCTTCTTGTCACCCTCCTCCGCCCTCTGCAGCCTTCCTGCTCGCTCCTAATCCTCATCCCGGCCTTGCATTAGCATTGCCCTCGCCTCTCACGTTTCCTTGCACTCAGCAAATTTAAACGGCTGTTCCTTCCCGCCCTCCTCGTCCTTCCAGCCCTTCCCGGCCGTCCCTTGGCCGCCCTCATCCCAAGCATATTCGGCCCTGCATTCCGTTAGGAGCCGGTGTGTCAGCCAACCCTGCCGCGCACGTTCTGCGAGTGGAGCCGCGAGACCAGCCCGCTACTCTGCGCCCCATTGAATGAACTGCACCGGCTTACATTGGTGGTTGCTTTGAGACGTACCGATGTACTACATCGCCTTATGCACAGCGATGTGCGCAGACTGTTCGCGCAAAAATGCACCGAAGGTTTTTCCCGGCAGCTCTCCTGGACAACGGCAGTACGATGGATTTTGCTCCGCCCTCTGCCAGTTGGGGTCTGATGGTTTTCTCTTGGGTCGGCGGCCTGAGGAAGCTCCTAAACCTGGCCGCGCCCGAGGTCCAACACCGCAGGCGCGAACTCCTAGCTTCAGCTACCCTGGGTGGCGGCATGGCGACTTGGGAAAACATCCGGGTCCAGACACGCCCTCCGGAAGGGCTACTGGTGCTCTGCAGTAGGGGGGGTGGGGGACGGCACTTTGGGATCCCGAAAAAGGGCAAGCATCATCGAGCCAGCGGCATCGATGATGCGCATCTCTGGCACATCTGGGACCAAGCGGTGCAGCAACCCACAAAGGAATGAAACATGAGCCTTTTGCGGTGTCGTTCTGCCGCGTTTTTCTCGTGCTATCGTCCAGGCACGGTGGCTCCTGGGTGCGCTGTATGGGCACCGCCGTGGAGGCCTTGCACCCGCTCTGGGCATCAAGGCGCCCCCGGGCGCGCATCAGCGGGATCGGCTGGGGGGCGGAGGGGAAGGTTCCCAGGCTTTTAGACAAGCCTCGAAACCAAGTCCGGTACCGGCGCGTGCAAAAAGACCTCCGCTTTGAGAATAAGATGTTTACACGTCTTTGTTGTGTTGTGGTGGATCGCTCTCGTGTGTTTTATGTTGCTGTTGGTGGTAGTCATTTTATACTGCCCCCCTTCCCGAGAAAAAGAAGAAACGAACCCTCCCCCTTGCGCCCATTCTTAAATTCTTGTCGCGTTGGGGCGTAGCCAGCTGCAGGCAACAGCCTCGTTAGATTATGCGAATCTGAATTTTGAAAGCAGGGCCACGGCAGAAGGACTGGAGAGTGGTACCTGGGGGATTGGGCCCCAACCGGGAAGGGTATGGTCCCTGCTGAAAGCCTTGCAAAATAGAAGCCAGGAGACGCTGCCAGCAGAATAGTTGTTCGGATAGCGGCTCTCGTCGTCATCGACAGGGACGCCCTGGACGACAACACTCTGACCCGGGGTGTACCTGCTCGTTCGCAACTGGCGATGGGAGCTTCAAGTGCCCGATTTGGACTGCATCTTCTTTCAGTTTGGAGCCACAAGATATTGAATACAAGTCAGCCGGCCTGCTGCTCATGGCTTCGCACGTAGAGCAGGTCAGGGACTGCTGAGCCAATAAAGGGCTGCCTGCGCCCGCTCTTCCTTCTGCATTCAGGTTCACATGTAAGTGCATATCTTCCGTCAACTGCAACTGACCCCTGAGACCTGCCTTAGCTAGAACTGGTCCGCAAGGCGGCAATGCCAGGCAAGAGCAAGGCCCCAGCTTGGTTTTACGGCAGTGGCAATGGCCAACACTTCCCTGGCCAATTCTTCGGCCAACATTCCGATGGACAGCATGAAAGAGTGTCAGCGTCTACGTTCTCCCAGCATCCTCAGCAAGAACAGAAACAGCTGCACGATGTCCAAGTATATAGTGATGGCTGCCTCAGGATGCATGCAAGGCAAACTCTCCGATGCTGTCCTTCCTCGTCTCCTAGTGCGAATGCAGAATCACCACTTGCATCTGCGCTGTCAGCGATCAGCAAAGAAAAACAAGCCTGGCAATACGTAGATGTAGAAGGCTTTTATGGGCGGGGACCAGTGGGCTTCGCTAAGTGGTTCAGCTTGATCCACCCGTAACCCTTATGGTGGGGGGGGGGGGGGGTGGGGACATAGGTCATTCAATTGATGGCAAATCATCACACAAGGGAGGAGGGAGCCCTTACAAGCCACCAACTACTGAGAATTTGTCTCACCGACGTCAGAGGTTCGCATAGAAAGCCCCTGCAGTTTTCAGGAGCCACGAATGCGTACCTTTGTCCTCCTCCCCCCCTCGTTCATTTTGGAGGTTCTTGAATGGAGCCTACCAGGACACAACTCACACCTCAAACCCTGAAGCCTTAACAACCCAAAGCCCTGAATGCTGTACAAGACCCAAGCCTTCAACGACCTCTCTAGATTTTCGGGTGCGGCCGGGGGGTGGGTCGACAACCATCCCCAAGCGCGGGTGACATAATTTGGACTCAAGTTGCCATGCAGTAGTCGTCGATACAGAACCGAAACCGCTGATGCTTGCCACCAACGATCAGCTGGGTGTCTAGGATGATGTATCCTCCCAGTCTGCGTCTTGTGGTTAGGGAAGCCTTGTGCAATTCTGCTCTGCAACTTTGAAATTGACATATTCAGCTTAGGCTTGGCTGCGGGGACTAACTCCGTATGCGCCACATTCCCCTGTGACCTAGTCATTGTCCACTCTGCAAATGCAGCTCCAAGAAGCGTGCCTGAGAAGAGCAATGCCCCACCAGCCGCATAGACCAGGTTCAAGGTCCTGGCTCAAGAAGGGAGGCGATTCTTGCGCGTGAGACTGCGGCACGACCCTTCTGCAATTTCAAGGTACTCCGAGGCTCTATCAAGATCGGCGTAGAAAGGCAGGTGACAACATGCAAGATTTTGTGCAAACACATCAAGTAACTGCAAATAGATCACCCAACAAAATCACCCAGATCCAAGATGAGCGCTTCTCCGAGGCACTGGAAGGCTCCGCTCTGGCTGGCGCCAAACATTGAGGCGATGCTCAGCGCAAAGCCGAAACCTTGGAGCTAAGCTAACAGCTCACGGAAGCCTCATACTCTCCCAACCCATCATGTGCCTCACCAAAATGTCCTTCGTTCACCTCTTAGGAACCTTTCTTTTGGCGAGGGGAAGGTAGCCCCAGCGAAAAATAAACCTTTCGAATCCTCCTTGCTTGGGCAAACTTACATGCCCGAATGTACCCGCAATCTGAATGTATCCTCGCGTGCAACAAGGTGGCCAAAGAGCACGAAAGTTGCCATGAGGAAGTATGGCATGAAACCTCTCAGAAGGCTTCTGCCGGGTTGTGCCATGCGAAGATCAAACTCACTGCGTAAGCTCTGCCCTGGCCGTTGTCTTACAAACAACACCTTGAGCTTGTCCTATGAGTTCTGGGTTATGCTGTCAACATGGCCACCGATGAACGTGCGCTGCCTACGATCGATGCAGCGCATGCCTGAAACCAATCTGCTGCCATGTGTTGTCACGTGATTTTGCCACGCGCGCACCTGTGATGTCATACTTCGTTTGGCACGCGAAAATGGACAAAGCCACCTGAGCGCATGGGCTGTGGGTTGCAAACCTGACCGCCAAGAAAATGCAACATCGCTCTCTCTCTCTCTCTCTCTCTCTCTCTCTCTCTCTCTCTCCGTGCAAGTGAAAGTCTCGTGTTGCAAAGCGTAATATGATCAGTACGCTGCTTGCCCTCGAAACTGCGGCAAGGCCACCACCACGCCTGAAGTCACTGCCTTGCCAAATGTGACGGACGAAATCTGACAATGCTGCCGGTCTTGTCTGCTCTGCCCGACGGCTTGTTGCCAGGAGTCTCTCGTGGTCTATCCAACTCAGCCTAACTCCTACAACCAAAATCTCGAAGTCTGCCCCTCGACACTGCAGCTTCTCCTTGCCGTTTGAGAGGCAAACGTCACCAGGACGGACTGTGCCTCGACTGCGAGACTATCAAACAATCTTAAGGGTGCTAGAGTTGAGGGCTTTGAGATGGCGCATCAAGCGTCTTCTTATTTTGGGAGCAGATGCGATGTAGCTGAACGGCTACACAACATGAACCCTCTCCGAGATCGGGGCAGTATATTGCACGCAGATGAAGCCCACCATGAACGATTCCTCAGCTAATCGTACAATGGAGAATCGGTATGAAGCAAGATGGAAGTTCGTCCATCAAATCGAACATTAGATTCTGATCGAACATCAAATCAAACGAGTCAAGCCGCTGCTACTGTGAAGAGCATCAGCAGGACGTAGTTGGTGGGGCTTTTGCGCATTGTCTGTGGGCCTCGATCGCTAGGGAAGGGGACCCCCTTTCCTGTGCTTGATTGAAGATTACCTTGACAAGACAACAGACGTGACGAAGCCATCTTTCGTACGATTTCAACCTGAAAGCCCCTGTGGCATCTTCAACAGGACAACAATGTCTCTTGCAAGGTCATCTTGTCAAGACATATTGAGCAGGTTGGAAACGGTTGGAACGACTACTTCGACACTGGGAGCGCGGCAGCACATAAACACGAGCATCGTTGAAATAGTGACTGCAATAGAGAATGTCATGACGATCCTTAGCGCGAGGCTTCAGGGAAGGTCTCAGAAAGCCAAGACTGTCGAACTGAGTTGCTGAGATAGCGAGGCCCACTCAAAAGATAGTCCAGAGAATGTTCCAGCTCTGATTCCGATTCCGATCTGCAAAAAGTGTTCTGGAAAAGAGATTTGCGACTTGAAGCTGAGGAGCGGAATGACAGCCGGGTTGGTCTGCTGCAGTTGTTGCGCATACCTCATGGTCCTGCGCGGAGCTTTTTCTTGAGCATACCATTTAGATCGAACTAGCGAAATGCTTAGTGGAAGAGAAAAGGCCCCGGAGAGTTTGGAACAATCTGGAAGAAGGTCACTTCACACGCGTAGAGCGGAGGCAGCGGAAGAAGGCTTGCAAACAAGTCTCCCAGCAGCAATCGCTGTTGTCCTGGGCTGCAGTTCTGACGACGCTGGCCCGTAGTTCATGCAAACGCGGTGTCTCGTCACAGGAGCCAGAGGCAAGACTTGGAAGCCAAAGGGCAAAATCAGCTGTAGTGAGAGGATGCCGTAAACTTTGCGCACAAAGCCATGTCGCACTGCTGTGTCATGGATACCTGCCAAGTCCTGCAGGGTCTCGAGTGTTCAGAGGCAATGTGGAAAATCATTCACCGGGGACGTTTTGGTAAGGCCAAGCTGAAGATAGTCGAGAACTGCCGAGAACACAGGGTCAGACAGCCTCGGAGTCTGCGCTCAGGGGCGTCTGCTCTGACATCTCCATTTGCGAGGGAAGGCAGGGGTAGAGCCTAAGGTAAAGCCTACAAATGAAGCCGCACTGGAGCCTGAGCGCTGGTGCATCAGACATTGCAAAAGAACAGCTCAGGTGTTGAAGGGTGAAGCGCATGCTGTGGCAATATGTTGGGGCCAGGAGTCATGGGTGCTTCTAGTAGCCGGCGGAACATGCTCGACGCTCCCTTGTGCCTCCTTCACGTGATGCAGCAGTGCCTGGCGACTCTCCTTGGAAAGATTGAATGCAGACAAGCCTAGCTGCTTGGTTGAGGTATTCTTTTCCAGGCAGTAGACGCAGGCAGCCACGTGCACAAGAAAGGGCTCTCATTCTCCGGAGTAATACGAATGGCTTCAACTTGACCACCACGGTGAATATGATTTCAACTGCTGTGGGTGCCGGTCTTACAGCACTCCAAGCCGGGCACCTCCGTCTCTTTGCGACGCTTTTCCTCAGCGTCGCGAAGCTCCTGAGCGCCCCCACGGCGTGTCCCGTGATGCGTCAATGCAACAGTCATCTGGCGGCTTTGGCTGGACTTCTGTCAAGTATTTGCACTGCGTGAATGATAGAATCTGATAGAACGCTGCAAAGCGAGCTTACAGCGATCAGCCTATGCCTGGCCTTCAAGGTCTTCAGATTTTCCAGGGCCGCCTGCATCGGAAGTAGGCAACAACAGAGCTTATGATGGAACAGCCGGCTTCCCGCGGCCTTCAGATCGAAGGCGCAAGCGTGTGCCTTTACCAGCTCGGCCTGGAAAGTCTGAGCATCTAGCTGCGACTGTTCCGCGGCTATCTTCATGACTCCAAAGCCTGAGCCGTCTCGAGCTGGCTTTGTAGCACGCCAGCTCGCCGGCGCTCCTTGCAAATAGCTTCTCGCTTCTACCCCTATAGGGAATCCGACCAAGTATAGGAACAAGTTTTTGCCCAGAGGCCTGGCGAGAATGCCCACCAACCGCCAGCAACTGCTCTACAAGGACGCACTCCGGGGCACCCAAACTCAGAAGAGAGGGAAGCGCACAACCAAGCATTCACAACCAGATATTAGGCCCTTTGGCCAGCCCAAACTGCACAAAGGCCCCTCGAAACGAAGCAAACTCACTGTGCCAAGCAAAGATCTGCAACAGCAAAATTGGATGACCCAGAGAGCTCGTCTCAATTGACAAGGCCGTCCTCAGCCACTTCACTCCTCCCTTGTCGAAGCTGGTCACCCTGCCTCGCAAGTCATCGAAAGGCATCTGCTGGGAAAAACTGCTGCCGGCGTGCACGCAGCATGCGTGCTTCGGCAAGCCTTTCGATGTCCTACAAGCAGCCAGTGCCCACGTTCTTTCAATGCTGTCGGGTCAGGTTCTAGAGCCGTGCTGCATCCACACTGGCCATGATACGAGAGAGGAGAACCAACAGGAATTACTGGACTACCAGACGGTTACCAGACCCGAACCTGAGTATTGAAACGCTACTCGAATCGCAGCTCGTACCAGTCCGCACACAGTGACCGGGGCCCTCACTCCTCGTGGAGTTGCTGCGCTTTGAGTTCATGCCTGCCGAAGGCCCCATCTTGAAAGTCAACATTTCCAAACAGGGGCCGCCACAAAAAGCCCTTGCACAGCAAAGCCACAGCTCCTGAACAATCGACTGTACACACGCTGTACACTGTAGGAGTGATTCGCAAGGGGCTCGTGCACGTCTTGTGCCTGCGGAACGTCTCTGTCAGCCGAGCCTGGAAGCCGGAGTATAAGATTGAAAACTGTGCCCGAGAATCCAAAAGAATGCGAAAATCATGCAGCAGTCTTAGTGATCCGACCTGGCGGACGTCATGCTGCCGCCGCTCATCGTGAAGGAGGGCAGACAGCTTTGCCTCACCGATGCTTTTCGTCGAACAGGGGGCCCTCCGGGCACATTCACATGTTCCCTGCCTGATCAATCTCCCGCTGGCGCTCCGCGTCCTGCATCACGGCAAACATCTTCGCCTGGCCACAGCCGGTCTCAGAAAGAACATGTTCATTCAATAAGTGTTCGAAGTTTTCGCTGCGCGCTTTTCGACAGCAATGGTGCAACCATATAACAATTGGGAGAGCAGGGATCAATTCTCACGAGGATGGCATAACGTCCTGTGATGATTGAACTGCAGTGGCGAATAACACAACTTTCTGGTGTCACTGAAGCAGAGCGCAACCTCTTGAACTTCTCGATGGTGCTTGGCATCGTCCAGCTCACCACGAAGCCTCGCCTCAGAGTCAAGCGAGCAACAATTATCATGAGGAATCCAGGTGCCCCGGGCAACCATCAAACGAACCACTGTAACACACTCTTCTCCCACTCTGTATGCACATAACCCGCTGCAATCCTCAGAGCTTCGGGCAAACATGACATTGCAAGTAACTAGGTGCACCAACCAGCCAAAGTGTCAAACATGTCAACCTTGTTAAACGCCTGCGAACTAAGACCCGCCTCCAACAGGTCCTTGTCCCTCGACACATCATAGACGGTGTAGTTGATCTGTGCCTCTGGCATGTGCGTGTTGCTGTGGTCGAACCTAGTTAGTTGTCCGTAAAATACCCAAGCTTTGCAAACAATCAGAGCATCAGTGTGCCCCAAAGCAAACAGACCATTATACCTATCTTGCTCTACCCATGTCCCACCTGCAACGAATCGCGTTGCCGCTCCGCCCCCGCTAAGCGTTGCAAAAATCCTGCCTGTCAGGAAAGTTTCAAGACGTTTGCAAAGCTCGCACGAGAGAACGTGCGGGGGTACCTCCAAAAGCGCTCGCTCCTTGTCGGCGTGTGTGGCCTACAAGCACAAAACGCAAGCGGACCTACCCCACGGCAGGAGGCCTAGCAAGTCGTTGATCCGCCCTCGGACGGGGAACGCTTACAGTCCATGCCAGGTGCAAGCGCTGAGCCCAGAAATTCACAAACAAACCTGCACAAGCACTGCGCAACGAGGCATCGGGACTAGAGTTCCACAAGGACGTTCCACGACGTTCGTTCCACGACGTTCCACGTCTCCACATGCACATGACCAGCTACATCCAACTACTCAGAAGCATCATTGTCGAAGGAAAAGCTGCCAGCTGCCGCACTCAACATCCCAACAGGAACTTGACGGGGTTAGGATACGGATTCGGATACTGCTCATGATGTCCTTTTTGAGCAAGCTCCCTTGTGCGAGGTTCGTGGGCGCCCGTCAGCGTGGGAGCATGCCGCAGCCATCTCGCAGAAGGCAACTTGTCATCACCTTTGAAGCTGTGTGACGATGTGCAAAGCAATGAAGCTGCTCAAGCTCTGAGCCCTAAAAACTAACCAAAAACCACGCGTTTCTGATGTTGCAGTCCCTGGCACTTCGGCAGGATCCTGTCACCTTCGCGCTAGCCAACTTGTCAGGACGCCACTGAGGCAGCCGATGACCACAGCCATACCTCACTCAGCTTTCAGCAAGCCGCAGGGCGCGAGAGTCTGCCAACATACCAAAATGCCAAGGCGCCGATGGAGAGCAGCATCTGCTTGCCTTCCTGCGAGGCTCTTTGGGCTGCGAGCTCGGCATTGAGCCGAAGAAGGAATTCCTCCTTGCGGTTTCTGGAGATGCAATCCCGAGATTTCCAAGTTGGAGCTGGGGTTGGACCGTGCAAAGCCTCAGGCGGCAAACCTACGATTTTTAGGCCCTAGGCCGTATGCGGCTCCCTTGATGTGCAGAAAAGTGTGAAACGCAGTGAAATGGCAGCCTTGCCTAGCCAACCAGAGTTTTCCCAAAATCGAGTCTCTTTTTCTGGGAGTTGCTGACCTGCAGATGACCGGTGCTGGGTGCTTCCGCTACAGTATGAGTACCGTGATCAGTATCATTAAGGTAGCGTCCAAGAGGTGTGAGCAGGGGGGAGAGGGAGCCGTCACCCTCAGAGAGTCATCGCTTTAGGTTGCCTGTGACTTCGGAGCACTCTCCGCTACATACGAAGGACTTCTTGGCAGCACTCCGGGAAGTTGCCCATTGCCCATCCTTCGTCTTCTCATTTAAGGCCGCGCTGTGCTCGCTGTGATCTCGTGGAAGCAATGGAAAGGCACCCCTTGCAAAACTGAAAAGAAGCGGAATGCGAAGTTGAATGGCAGACCCGAGTGTCTGAAATCAGATGAGGGGCTTGTGGCTCAGGCCATCGAAGGAACCCTTGCGGTTCCTTTGATCCTGGCGCGTTGTACACTTCGTCTGGGGTGAATAAGCCTTTCGGGATGCCTATCCCCTGCCCCGACACCCTCATCTTTATGGCCAAGTCTCGAGTGCGAGGATTTCGTTTGAGACAATCTTCGAGATTGTGCTTGATTGTGGACCGTGGCTTGCCCTTAGCAGTCAGCGGTCATGTGGGGGCAGGGCTCTCGGGAGCTTTGTCAGAGAATCCTCGCGACTTTTGCCGCAACATGCTTGAGCCTGATGCAGCCATGTGGCCGGACAGACCAATCCTTAGCTTTCTGAAGTCCCGATTAGCAGAGGAATGCTTCGCATCCAGGCGAACAGACGAGCCACCATCTGCTCACCCATCTCCTCCTGCACGGTTTCCTGCTGCAGCGTGCTGAGATCCTCAGAGAAACAAGGCGGGTGAGCCTGCTGAATACTGAGGCGCCATGAGGCTACGCTGCATGCGGTGCATCCAAAGTAAACACCTCAAAATGACCCAAGACGTGAGGACAGGCCTGAGACACTTGCTAGAAATCAATGAGCTTTTGGAATTTCCCAGATATAGACATTACGATGTCGCTGTGAAGATACATGAGACTTAGAACACTTGAACTATATTCTGCATCCTGACTTAACAGTAAATGTAGGTGTTTTTCACGCTTGACCCTCTAACTGCTCAACCGAAGAATAGTGAACACGAACGCAAATAAAAAGGCGTCACTCCAGGAACTCCCTGGAGAGGGATGGGCCCGAATACTTCATCTACTTTGAGGTGGATGTTTCCAAAACTACAAGTACCTTTTTGGGGTCCTTATTAGAAGGGAATCCTACTATTTGAGGGACACTATTAGGGGTTCCTTATATTCGTAAACCCCCAGGTAGCACTCCAGAAGGATACTCAGCGGGATGTTTTTGGTGATTCTCTGGGGTCGCGGGCCAGGAAAGGGCGAGGAGAATAGCTGAGGTAAATCTAAAATCCACGCACCGGGGGTTGGGAAATAGCAGGAGATCGGTTGCATCACCTCTTGAATGACATGCTCCTGTTCATTCAGGTCTTATTCATAAATTTTCTGTCTCACGACATCCGGTGAGCGCTCTCGGTCAGATCGTCCTATTCCTGTTTCGAACATTGCTTCACCTTCACCTTAGGATCACTTCGGCCTTAGTCTTCAATGAGGTTATGAGCGAAGGGCAAGGATGCAAAGAACTAAGAACCCTATATCACGGTCACAACTTTAGACATCATGTCCCTTTCCTTGCAATGTTGACCTTGTATTAAACCCCCTCTCCTTGCTTGACCCTTGGATCCGTAAACTCTTGAACTTGGAAGCGAGAGAACTTTCTCCGCTCTGGATCTTGGAAGAACGATGGGAGTCTGCTTTGGTTCACAAGGGGGCTCACTAACCTCTGTTTTCATGGTGTTTGCATGGTGACCACAAAGACGAAAATTCTGACCCTGGTGATGGGGCTCAAGGTCGTGCGGTGGTCGCACATCCCTTGTTTAATGGTTGCAAAGCTCCAGAATGGACGCTTCCTCGATCACATGTGGCAGAACCAGGAACAAGAGTGACAGAATGTTGGGACGGAGAGGTGACTGGATTGATGGTTTGGGTTCTCAAGGTCATGTGGTGGTCACACTTTAATTAATGTTCGTGAGAACTCCCAGACCACAAGCTTCTGATGAACCGGGCTGTCTACGACATCCCTTCCTACACCATGACATATCTTGTCAATGGAGGATGTCGTGTTCATACCATGTCATGCCGGCAACGTATCGGACGGCCACGTCGGCGCTCTTCGGAGACGCTCGTTCCAACAAGCTCTGCTTTCGCATCCGTCACTTCACAGCATGCATCGTGCAGGCAAGGCATGGAAAACTTGGCCAACGGATACCCTGGCATGGCCGTCATCATCGTGCTGCGAAAAAAACCGAGACTTTCGGGCGGTTCCGAGAATGGGAAGCCAGAACACTTGAAAACAGTGCAAGGCACGATTTTTAGACATGCGAACCCAGGAGAAAAACTGTTTTTTCGATGTCGTCAGGGTCTCTCCGACGCGCGTGAACACAACATTGAAGCCTAAAACTTTGTTCTGCTTAAACCAGTTTAAGAGAACATGGAAGAAAGAACATAGGTTATAGAATGACGAACAAAATTTGATGCAAATCATAACGTACAGAACTAAAGCAAATGTCGAAATCTCATTTCACTTCACTCTGTGCGTGTCCGTTTCTATTTCGTACTTTGATCCCCAAACAACAGCGTTTGGGGTCCTCTCCTCAGACGAATAGAGGAACGCGCCTGGCTGGATGGAACGCGACTTCGGAGCTGCTGAGAGCATGCGGGTTGGGATGGGTGGAACACGGGTCCGGAGCTTTGGGCCCGCTGGTTTGGACGGGTGCCTTAACTTTCTTGCATCACTACACTTCGTTGAAGCCAGTAAGTATTCAGGAGAGAACAAAGAAGCGAAAGGTGTCTCTAAAGATAGAGAATTGACCCAATATCCTAATAGTATCAATGACAGCGGCACCTGGTCCTCACCCGGCAAGGCAGCGGCGAATGGCCGAATCTTGGCAAGAAAACCCAAAACCGAATGGAGGCACAAGTCACGCACAAGCCTTTGGCACGAAGCCTCCCCTGGACACACCTTCCCCATGTCTGGCAAGCAGCTTTGGGCTCAGCCTCCAGGCCGAAGCCGACCAAGTCAGACCTGAACTCGTTGAAAAGAGCAACCCTTGTAACATTGTAGTGCTGAGGCGACTCAGGTGAGGCAGACAACGAGAACTCGTGTGGGCAGGACACTGCTGCAGGCGCCGAGTTGGAGAAAGTAGCAGCAAGTTGCACATGACGCCGACATCGTCTGCATCATCTGCCTCGAAAGCCAACTTTGCACGGGCGGGTCGATTTGCACAAACATCGCAAAACTGCAACATGCTGCAACCAAGAGGCGCTTGCTTCCAGCAGATGCATCTCCTCCTGATAGACGCGCTTGCGATAAGCGATCCTTGGCAACACATAGGCTAACGACAGCGAACGATCTCGCTCACAGAACGTCTGATTGTCTTACACAGGGCCTGATACCTGGACAATGAAAGCGCTTGCAGGTTCACCATGTTTCACGAGTGTTCTGAGGCACTGAATGTAAGAAGTCTTGTCCTCACGTAGTCGCATCTGCTAAGCTGGTGGGCAGCATTCCTTCAAAGTCCATGTCAGGCTAGGCGTCCTCAGGTTCGGTACGTTTGTGGAAGTCGGCTTGTTCTCGCTGCGATAATCTTTGGAGCCGAACCAGGAAGCCTCAACAGGCCAACTACTGCGGCCATGCGGATCAGACATGATCATGCTGCAGGCGGAATGTCACCAGCGGTGTCTAAACGTTGAAAAAGACCACCCAAGAGACAGGTACCGATACGACCTCGCGCTCCGACACATCATAATACTTCCCAGCCTTCGTCTCCTCGTCAAAGCCGCTCTGCAGCACGGAGTTCCGGGCCATCTCACAGAGGTCCACGGAGGTGAAGTGCCAGAGCTGCTTGGCAATGCTATACCTACAGCACCCTACAGAACCCTGCAGCACCCTGCAGCACCCTACAGCATCCTACAACCGAGGCTCTGAGGTAAAAGCTTCCAACG